TCCCAGCGTGTTACAACACAGGAGTGAGCGATCGTAAGGCGGGTCACAGCATGTTGTCGGCTTAATGGTGTCGGTGCGACATTGAGGCCGGGATTCTGGGGGCACCAACAATGAAGGCTACACAAATGCTGTGGCTTTGTTTACGGCTAGCGAGACACCAGCTGAGCCGCGCTTTTGTCTGAGAGAAGACGTCATCAATTCAGAGACGCCTCTAGCATCTGTCACCTACCGCAAGGCCCCTCATCAAGAGTGGGCTCTGGCAGTGTAGCCAGAGAGGCCTACAACGGCCCTCTTCATCAAGGCCCAAAACACAAACACCATGGAGGGGAACTGGGAAATCGAGTCCCATTGAGCCATATCGGTTACCTCTTGAGTTATATCACCTAACCCTGTGAGCCTGCGCATTTCCATCTCTATGTCTCTCCCATCCGCTATTCGTGTTGGCCCACTGCTAGCAGATAACCAATCAATGCATTTACGCATTCGGTGCGAAAATCCACGGCGAGCTCTCCACCTTACCGCCCTCTCATTCGCCAGCGCTTGCAAATCCGTCCCCTGGGACTGGGATCACCATGGTACTAGCAACCAAGTGTCCCAAGATTGTAGCGCCTAAGCCCGGGGAAGGACTAGCCATGGAACGCTTGGCGTCTGCTTGACCACTCGACGTCCGCCTTCTTCAAGAATTGTGACCTTCAGGATTCGTAAAATGTCGGACTCAATGCTCCAACTTATTCTGCCCTCATAACTGATGAAACCCGGAGAAGCCCATTCGCCAGCAAGTTCCGTCGTTGCTTATTTACCGTATTCATTTGCGACCGCCTCCATGTCGGACAGCGAGTCGCGCTGCACAGCTTCACAAGAGCCCGCTGCAGGAGAGACTTGTTGCTGCAGGAAGTGTGCAAACACGTCCAAAAAGGGGGGGAGACGACACCATCGCAAATCGCGGCTCGGTTGCAAGACGTGCAAGAGGAGAAAAGTCAAGGTACGTCTCCCCCACCGCTTGCTTGCATACCTAGCAAAAGCAACTGCCAAGCTCACAATCACCGTGCAGTGTGATGAAGCCAAACCAGAGTGCGGCAACTGTCAACGTTTTGGAGTTGCCTGCGACTTTCTGCCAACGGCCATTTTCAAGGCCCAGACGAAGCATACCGAGGAGCCCCAGATCCCTGAATTAAGACGGAGGGGCCGGCCCCGATCAGACTGGAGCTCCTGGGCCGAACAGGTCCACTCCGGTTCGCCTTCAGCGCAAAGTCCCGAAGTGGGATCCGGAATCACCTCACAAACCCCGCCGTCAACGCAACCGTCAGAGTTTTCAAACTCACTCACAAATCTTCTTGATGTCGAGAATATTGAGCTCTTTCACATTTTCATGGTCCATACGGCACCTACCTTAGGGGACAGCTCTAAATTCTACCGGGATAAAGCACCCGCCCTCGGCTTCCGCCATCCTTGTGTCCTCAACGGCATGCTGGCCCTGGCCGCCCTTCATCAGGTCAGGTTACAACCCGAGGATGCCTTTCGCTTCCTCGCACTGGCCGACCGGCACTCTACTACTGCCTTGCAGCAGGCCACCGATCTTCTCCCGTTCATCAGCCGGGAAACGTGCAAGCCCTGTACATGGTTACCGTAATGATCTGCTTCACAGCGTTTGCCAGAGGTCCCAGTCCTGGGAATCTTTTAGTAGTCGCAGGAAATGGAGAGGTACCCTGGGTGTCGCTCATCTCTGGGGTGCGCTTTGTTGTCGATACACTTGGGTGGCCAACCATCCTGACAGGCGTCCTCGCCCAAGAACCAGAGCCCGAAGCCGCAGACATAGCAACTCAGCATCAAGTTTCAGCTTTACCTTCTTTCGGGGAAAAACCCCGAGGCTATGGATGAAGTTTCGGGTCTCGGGGGCCTTTTTAAAAAAAAAAAAAAAAGACGGTTTACCAACACGACATCAATGCTATCGAATGCATTCCCGGACGACTTTGGAACCATGAACGAGCCAAAGTCGGTCATCAAGGGGGAAGGTGCAGCATGGGGGATCAATAGCTATATCAAGAATCCAAACGGGTTTGGGTGAGAGCGGACTTGGAAGGAAAAGAACCCATCCGCTGGAATCCTCTCCGGCACCTTTGCTGTTTGTTGCGGAACTTCCACGGGACTGGTTCATAGATGGATGGGGTAAGCATATACTGAACGAGGTACGCCAGGCCTCCGAGGCAGCACATAAGTGGCTTGCATGGCCCACGGCCGTCATTCAAGAGTCCTTCGTTTAAGACAAAAGCAGGCCTTTTAATACAGGTGACCATGATCGGGATAAACGTTGAAAACTTGTTTAGATATTTCTATCTAGTTGGCAGCAGTCGGGAAGCTTGAATCCACCTCTCATTCTGCGCTGGAACATAGCAGGGGGGGTCATACTTCGCCGAAAGCTTCTGCAAGAACTCAACGTTGGGCTTTGCCATAATTCGAGATTGGGTCTTGCGTGGGATCAGCATAATTGATGTAGACCCATGGTTGAAGCGCGTCAATCGATTTGGCAAACTCCTCCAGGGCTGCTTTCATCTCCAATCCCTTTTCGTGTAGCAGCGTCTCATGCTTGGGTTCCTGACGGTACAAGCGAGGAGCCACATGGGGGAGTCCCCTCGACCTGGTCGAGCCGAGGACATTACCACGACGAAACTCCCCGATCTCGGCGAAAAACTTTGGAATGGGCTGGAAAAGATTCTGGGTGCCCAGCTCGTTCGTCGACACAGTCTGGAGCATCTCGGCTACGAGTTTCTCGAGCAGCTCAGCAGACTTTCGAATGACACGCTCATCATTCTTGAAAGTCAAGGTAAACCAGACATTGCTGTGACGGATCTTGTTAGCATTACCTATACCAAGATTGAAGACGCTCGACTGACTGTAGGCTAGGAGGCAGAAGATAGTCATTTGACATGCTACCCACGGATCGGACCTTAATGTCGTTGAAGAGTTTTGGAGCTGCCAAGGCTTGGTCAAAAACCGGAGGTGCCTCCTTGCCACTTGTGTCAGCGATGACTTGGGCAACAAGGATGTCTGGAGACATTCCAGGATTGTAGGTGAAATTGATAAGGTACGCAGCCTCTGGATTCTTGTGGTGATTGCTGTGAAGTTCACCATGGCAGCCCCGACAGCCGCTGTGTGAGACTTTTCTGATGCACGTATACTTCCCCACAAAGGCTTCGAAGGGAATGTTTCGAGATCGAAGCGAGTGACGATACCGAAGTTGCCCCAGCCGCCCTTGGGCGCTTTGAGGAGGTCAGGATGACTGTATTTGTTGGCATTGATGATACTGCCATCGGCCAAGACGATTTCGGCGTTGACAACGCTATCACAGCCGAAGCCGTACAGGCCAGTGTAGTACGAATTGCCCCCGCCAGTCAGGAAACCACCGATGCCAACATTGCTATCGCGTCCTCCGGGCACGGCAACACCAGACCTTTCGAGAGCGAGAAATGCATCACCCCATCTAGAAGCAGGCTCGATCGAGGCGATATCTGTCTCCGTGTTGTATGTCGTAGCTTTCGGATAGCCAAGATCAATAGTCACACCGCCGTCGATGTTATTGCCTCCTGCCCGATGACTGTGTCCTCCGCTGCGGACAGCAAAGTTACTCGTCGTATTCTGACCGAGGACACGGACTACCGTGGCGGCATTCTGTGCATTGTTCGGTCGAGCTATGCAAGCGGGTCGAAGTCTCGAGCTGCTTGACCACCATGACTCGAGGCAGGCTTCGTATGCTGCGTCGGCCACAGCAAGGACCTGGTCCCCAAGCCCCGCCGAGAGGAGCGCCTCGCACTATAAATTGAAGGTGTCAAAAATTTCTCTCATTCAGTGGTGAGAAACGTTAAGGCGGCGCTGAGGACTCACAGCTTCCACCCCTTCGTCGCTACAATCGCGTGCAGCAAGAGACATAGTAGCAGATAGCAACAGAGCTAGACGATGGGCAAGGAACATTGCTTTCAGTCAGGTAGCGGAACGAGGTCGATAGAAATCAATGCCAGCTGGACATATATGATCAAAGACGTCTTGCCGATGCATGCCCCCAACGTCTTTTGTATGCATGCAGCACGGCACGGTATCGGAGTATCCGGAGCATTTGGGTCCTCTTGACATGAACCCCTGTAGCGACCTGCGCCGCGGAAGCTATCCGGCAGCTGCCAGTCTCCGATGCAGTGACGAGGATAAGGGCGAGCAATGGCGACTTTGAGCGATCCTTGTCTCGGCTCCAGCTTGCAAAGCAAAACTGAACCCGAAGTGTTCCAGGTAGAAATGTGCTGCGGCTACAATTGCGGCAGCACGGAATGATATTGTTCCAACAAATATACAGAAGAATAGACCATGTACGAAGAACAGGGTGTCAGGGTCTTCCAAACAAGAGCCGAACCGCGCCAGGCGACGCCTCTCTGAAGGAACATCCTGATCCTCACAGCGGTCTCCATGATGTTTATCTCGAACAGGTTTTGGTTGACATACACCATGAAACACACGCTCCTACAGCTCCACAATTCAGTTGCTGTTCATAGCCTGCTAAGTAAGCTGGCCGATGCATACGGCTTTACAGCTTGCGGAGAGACTCGCGGAATGCACGGCGAGCCTTGCGGCCGCGCTGGCGGCGGCGGCGAGTGCGTGTGCAGACCTCTTCATAGTCACCACCCGAGCCGGAGCCCGAACCGGGGGCGGCGGTGGGGCTGGCGGCTTCGGTGGTAGCGACATCGCTCGGAGCAGCAAAGACAGGCTCGCTCTCGACAGGGGTGGCAGCGACAGTGCTGGTGGCAGAGGGAACTGGCCCACTCTCGCCAGGAGCAGGATCAGCGGAACCGACGCTGTGACCACCAGTCCAAACGGCTGGGCCAGGCATAGGATAATCCTTCACACCTCCATAGATGGAAAAGTTGAACGAGGGGTCATCCTTCTTGTAGGCACCAGGGAACTTGACAGTGGGGCCCGGGGTGCCGTTGCCACCGCCAGTGACCTTGACTTGAACACAACTGTCACACCGTCAGTTTCCGCTAGTCCATCTAGAAGAACTGCAATAGCGTACGTGTAGTAGAACTCAGCCTGCCCAACATGAGCACCGTGGACTCCTTTACAAGTCATTGTTAGCTGCCGTTGACCTGTTAAGATATGGGTTGATAGTGGGCATACCAATGTGTTCCGGCCGGATCAGATACTCTCCGTCAGGAGTATCCTTGGGAATGGTGAACTCGATCGTGTCCTTGTCCCATGTGCACCAAGCATCCTTGGTGAAGTCGCCGCTGGCGTTGCAAACGCTCTCCTCGAAGATCTTGAACCATTCTCCATTACCTTCATAGGCCTTGGCCGTGGCAGGGGCCTTGGACATGTAGACGAGGGCAGGGCCGGGGTGCTGCATGGTGGCCCCAACAGCGAGTTTTACAGCAAGCTTGGAGCCCGCCTTTACCTCGGCAGTGCCAGTTTGGCCAGCAAAGGTGAACGCACCCTTGTTGCAACGGAAGTCGTTGACGTCGGGCGTCATGTCGTCACGGACATTCTCCCACTTGGTGGGGTTGTACTTGGCCGGACGAGTGTTGGACCGGACAAACTCATTGCTGCGAGTCTCGACACCATCGATGATGAGCTTGTCGAAGAAATAGTGAGCGGACGCGAGGGGCGTCAAAGCCGCGACGGCAAGGATGGAGAACCTCATTGTTGCAGTAGATGCGGAGGGTAAATAGCCGTGGCAGACTTTTCGGTGATAGTTTTTGATTCTTGCTGAAGATGACTTCGAGTCGAACAAACGTAAACGGCTAGCGTGTTATTGGAAAGGAAAGTAATATAGTGTAAAAGAATGTGATAAAAAAAAACGAAAGAGTGTAGCAAAGAACTGGTAATGCTCTGAGACCAAAGCAGAGACGTGTTGGAGTCGGATCTGGAGCTCTTCTATATCTTTTCTCTTCGCCCCCTACCATTGGCGCTCGCTCTATAACCTGGGTTGACGAAGAGATCGCTGCCCTTCATCTCGGCATCATTTTGGCGATGCATAACAAATCTGATTTCGATTCTAGCCACTCCAGGGGCCTGCTCCACGGTACAAGAGACACCTGTTTTCCGATTCGCGGGACTCGTAAGTCTAGGCCGGCACACGGGCTAATGTCCTGTCCCTCCTATTTCCGCGCCCCCCAGAAAGCGTGTCACTAACCGCTTGCGAAGGTTGACTCGCCTCTTTGACTCAGCCCTATACCCAACTACTCAGGATCGTTTGGATCAGCCTCCCGCTCGTGCGTCACTCATGTGGAGGTGACCAAGCCAAAGGCGTTGTAACAAGCTCGCTTGCAGGGACACCTCCTGCTGTCTTGAAACATCTGAAACATCGAGGCGCGAATAGCAATTAAATCCCAGGTCAAGGGGGATGATCTTGAGCTGGCCAAGTTGGCCTCAAGGATTATCGTCCAGCAGTATCATGTAGATAAAGTCCTCTGGCAAAATAGGAAAGCACTCGGTTCTTCGCGTCGTTTATGATATCGGGCGAGAATCTGAGAAGAAGAGCATTGGGCCTCGAGCTGTAGACTCTCAGCGCAGACTATGCCGCGCTTGAGGCAAGATTCTCTCTCTAATTTGAGGGCTTCGCCTGTTCAACGAAGGCTCGCTCAAGCAGCAATCTCGACTTTTGGAATCAACACAGTGGAGAGCTGACTGGAATAGTCGACAATTTACCAATTCCATCTGTATCATATTACAAACCTGGGCAGAACACCTCGCTGCTGGTCAATGAGAAGTAATATCCGACGTGGGTGTGGGTCTTGAGCCTGCGCTTGAGGTCAGTTCGAGAGTCAGCTTGTCAAAATTTGACCGTTGTGAGGTGGTCGAGGCTTACATGTGCATGACGGGAACAGGCCCATTGCAAGTAAGGTTGTCAAATTGACATGACGGTTCCACGGCAATTCTCGACTTTATTATTGTGCCTCAGTGTGCAAGAGAAGTGGCCTTCCCAGCAGAAGAAAATATCCATCCAGACCGCCGGCTCATCCGTCATAACTTTTGTTCGCCCCATGCCATACTGACGCCTACACCTGACAACACGGACAGAAAACATCCGTAAAAGAAAGTAATAATGGCGGTCAGCCTGTTCAAGGAATATTGTCGTCGCCGAACGCGCCATTAACATCAAAGCTCGAGTTGAAACCTTGACTTGCGGACTAGTTGGGTCAGTCAATCAATCTCACGCATCCAGGTCAAAGCACGGAAATGGGTGTGCGCAACGCAACACTGGTGTCTAAACTTACCAGATCGCCCCAGTCCCAATCGCTCATCTTGTCGAAGCCCCCCAGATCGTCAAAATCGATGTCCTGCGCCATGTCAAACGCTATCTCGCCCGCTACAGACGTCTCCTCACACCCAGCCAGCGTCTTCAGCCAGTCGTGACACTTGCTGATTTCGGTCTCGACTGCCTCCACCGTGAACGCGTCCGTCTCTTCGGATGAAAGGCCTCTTTCAAAGCAATCAATCTGAGCGGATAGCCACACGAATGCGAGATAACTCTTCATATTAGTGTCTCCTGCGCGCACGCGCTTGGCGCACCAAGGCTTCACAGCATCGATCGTCTCGCGCAGCTCGGCGGTGCCTCCGCCTACCGCGCCAGTGGCGTGGAAGCCGCTATTTCTCGGAGGACCAGTAGGTATTCCATGCCGAGGATCATCCCCCCTTGCACCATTGTTGAGCGGTAGCTGCCCCGCGCAGTTGACGAAGAGGCGTTGTACGTCCATGTCCGAGCGTGTGGTGGCTGGCGAGGATAGGCGTGCGAGAGACTTCGGCGCAACGAACATACTGTTGGCGAGAAGGAGGCACGTGTCGACACATACCTTGCGAGAGAAGTAGTAGACGGGATTTCGCAGCGCCCGAGCGAGGGCTGGGCGGTGTAGGACGATGAAGAAGCGCCACGTAGTGTACTCGACGTAGCGCAGCTGGAAAGAGCTCAACTCGCCGGCCTCGTGAAGCTTCTTGAGCTGACGCATCATACCCTGGAGAGAGGCCGTCAAGTCGGCATTGACGCGCAGCGTTTCGTTGTACGAGGCGTTGGCGCGGATATCGTTAATGTGCTTGGCCACCACAAGACGGACCTGAAAGGTCTCGAGCATGGCCCGCGGCACCGACATGTGCGTATAGACCTCGGACGGCTTGGGTACCGGAAAGGCGGACTCGGCGTCCTCAATGAGCTGTTCATCGTCGACGTTGGCCGGTGGTTCCGTATCGTAATCCATAGGAGATATGAGGGGCGGTCCGCCTGAGCTGATGCTGGACGCCAGGAGGATCTCCAGGATAGTGGCCCAGAGGCGGCGGCGCATCTCGGCACGGAATGCCGACATTTTGGCGATGCACTTAGGGTCTTCATGCAGTCCCATGTACATTGCCGTGCGCAGCAGAGCGCCAGCGCTAATCCATGTGAGATCTGAGCCGACATTGGTAGTGTTCTTGGCAAGGTGTAGTAGGCATAGTATTTGCAGGCCGACAATAGACATTTTGGACTTCTCGCACGGCAGCATGAGCCAGACTTGAGCTTCATAGATCCATTGAGTGGCTATGGTTCGCAAGGAGAACGTGTCGTCCTGGAAAGCGGCACCTATGGCCATGCAGAGCTGTAGAAGTACCACGAAAGATTCGTTGGCAGCTGAAGGATCGACCCAGTATCGTTCATATTCGGCTTTGAAGGATGGTATGTGGACGACTCTGTACACTGATTCGAATGTTCGCAAGTATGCGTCGACGAGTTGGTCCGCCAGGTCTTTTTGGGGTATACTCTTTCCGATGATGATGCTCGTCAGAGCTGGTACACGCTGGCCTTTGATAAGCCTGCCGAGGCTCTTGCACCTCTCCATGTCTTGGTACATCTTTGATGTCTTATCGGCCTCGACGCCATGAAGGAACTTGAAAATTCCTTCCACCTGCAGCTGGTCAGCTCCTTTTGAGGAGATGAAATACGAGGCCTTGACTTACCATCGTCACCCCGTTGGCCCAATGGCTGGGGCCAAATAAACGCGTTTTGTTGACAAGGCCACGATGAGTGTGATCGTCTTCGCGTGGCTCGTCCCTGCACATGGCAGCGCAGTCTCGCGACGCATCATTCTTCTGGAGTGCCACGTTGAGCTGCTGTTCCAGCTGTTTGACCCGGTCGAGGAGAGCAGTGACCGTGGGGGACGTGCTAGGGAGGCTCTCCGGGGTCAAGATCGGTTCATGGTCCGGCCTGTTTGAGGGGTAGGAGGTAAACCAGCCGGGATCTGTGTGAGGGGGGATAGAGCCCGAGGCTGAGACGTGGGAGGGCCGAACAACATCTGGCAGAACGTGGTCGGAAGCAGTGGAGGCGGGATTGGTTGTGGCCGGCGCGACTTGTCTCGGCGCCACTGGTCGTTTTGCTGTCAGCGGCTGGGGTGCGTATGTGCAGACAGTCGACCGTGACCGTGTACAGGTCGCACATGGCATGGTTCTATCGCACCTGACCTTTCGCATACGGCATTGCTCGCAGGCCAGGGCCGGACGTCGGCGTTTTCTTTCGGCCTGGGAAGGACGGATGCCGCCCAGCTCGGTTGTGGGCATGGGCATGGTGAATAGAGCTGAGAGGCCGACGACCGAATTTTGTTGGAGAATCTGCGATGTGTTCCAGGCCTGAAGAGCTCAGGCCTTCACACGTAGCAGTGTAATGCCGTGAATATGCTGGCTTAGATGTCTACGTGAGATATCACCAGAGAGTGGAGGCGAGAACATGAATGAGATTCGACATCCGAAAGTAGGTAGGTAGGAAAACTGGGCATGCGACTAGGCACCCGCGCCAGCAACGATCAACTAACCCTGAACCAGACGGCAATTGCGTTTGGAGACTTAACCAATCTGATAAGAAATCTATGAAGACTTTTTGCGGGCGCCGTGGCTAGAGTGTCTGAGTCCATCGCAATTGTTGCGATGAGCGTGTCAGTGGTGGGGATGTAACGCCGCTGGCTGTAACAGCGCGCCTTAGACCGAGCATTTAGGGTCTCCGATTGGACGAAAAGGCCGAGAAGTTGATCTGAATTCACCGAGATCCGTCGTTATCCCCGACTGGCCGAACCGCCCGAGCTCTTGATCAGCAAGAGTATCCTCAATGGCTCCGTCAATATCCGATCCATGGGTCGTACGAGACAAGTTTGGTCTTTGAAAGATGGGATGGGCAAAGTTAATATGGTAGTTAGATGGATCTCGAGCGTCAGTAAGGGCCTGGTGGCATGGACTCCGTCGCCAGAGCTGCCTACCTTACCTAGAGCTACGCGATCGCCGGCAGAGGACGTATCGCAGATGATGCCCCACGCCCGCCTTCTTGACGGCCCGAAGAGTGGCGTCGCGCTTTCAAACCTCGATACGGCACGGTCACGGGCTTGGCGGATACCTTCGGCACGCCGGCCGCCGGGGACATGTTCCCACCACGTTGAACCGCTCGTTGGCAATTCAGCCAAGCTGAGCAAAGTCCACCGGTGCACTAGAGTCATTCAAGACCGGGCTCCCAGGTGTGACGTCTTTGCCTTCAACCCGAGCGGCGGCTTGAGGCAACTGAAGATGGACCGCTCTATCACAGCTCCCAACCTTGGACGCGCGAGGCTGGCGACTGCGACTGGGCGATCCGACGTCACCGTATGGCAGTATCTCGGTTCGTGAAACCAGCGGAGGCCAATTGCCAGAGCCAAACAGCACTTGAGTGGTGCGCTGTCGATCTCGATCGCCAAGCCACTCGACGCCGACATGATGTCAAGGGGGTCAGGCCCCCTGCCAACAACCAGACCTTCGCCAACCCCAGACGCGTTCTCGCACACCCACGTCGTCTACGGTGTGGCGGCCATTCAACAAGCCACATAGGTCCAGCCTTTCCGAACCCACGTTGCGACATGGTCATCTGTCGGCGGTGGCTTGGCCGTTAAATCGCGATGGCCGTGTTGTTTGTGATCCTCTTGGCAAGATGGCCAGCGTGAGCAAGCAAGCCAACATGCAAGCTGGGCAGTGTTGTAATAGCGGGGAAGCCAGACGGTCACTCAACGTCATATGCTAACAGTCCTGGCGAAGGTATATGAGCCTGGGATTCTGCTCTACAGCACCGTTTTCTTGCAAATCAATCTACAACTCTGAACGCTCACAATATCATTCACGAAACCTCTCTTCAAACATCTATTCACAATGTCTGCCGCCGGTGCCAAGTCCGTCATTTCCAACGACATGCAGGAGTTGGGTCAGGGCAAGGAAGACATCTCCAACAAAATCTCTGGCCACAAGGCCAACCTCTCCAACCCCAGTACGTGGACATAGGTCCTAGCTCAGCTTACGGGGAATCGCCCACTGACAAGGGTAGACACGAGCGAGGAGTCCAAGGAGAACAGCAGAAAGGCGATCGAGGAGCTCGGCGGACCTGACAACCACTACGGCAAGGAGGACGGCCCACGCAGTAAGAGCGCGGCCGATGCATTGGAGGGCAGCCGCGTCGTTTAGACACTTCTCTCGGAAGAGAATCCCGTTGTTGTTCAGATACGTTGTTCAGATACTGAGTGTAATGATGCCATTTTATTTCCGATAGCCTGTTGTCGACAGTCTGACATAACAGGGTACCTGCCTGATAATTGCGTGACATCACCTGGATGAACAAAGTTTAGGTTTGCCCGTTTGCCCTGATTACCCTGTCTACGAGGATCATCCATTCCCGGCACGCCGTCAGTTTCTTCATCGACCCTTCGGCAAGGGTCACCAAGAGCTCAAGATACTTCGCGTCGTGCTTCGCTGGCAGAACGAGCGCCCCTTTACCACCGCCCACGTTCCCAGCTACGATGCGCACCCGATCAGCTTCGGCAACACCTACCCCAGGAATCCCCCACCGGGCGTGCGCCCCTAAATTCCGCCATGAGTCCATCTCAAGATCGCCAGCATAGATGGGGGAGGTCGTGCGTCCCAAGACCCTCCCCTCCCTCACTGCCTTGTCCATCATGGCCGTTCTCACGGCAACAAAGGGCTCAACTACGTGTTTACAGGCCATCTGTATTGATTTCGTCACGGCAGGTACCCAAGCCGGCAGACCGCCGGGCGTGCTAGGGTGTCCAGGAATTCTGAGGAGGACATCCCGCGGGACTCTTGTAATCACGTCAGCTGACGCATTGCCAAAGTATGGTGCCGCCTCTTCCTGTAAGGCATGTTGCCGCCATTGCATGATCAGACCCAGCGTCGCGACCTCGGGCGTGGCCATGGTATATGCCACTTCGTGCTTGTACCGCGCACGAGTGATGTAGGCCCACGTCAGGGCCGACAAGACGACGAAGACCGAGGGGGGTGCGTCGACATGGCTCACGAGGCGGATCATCTCACCGATATTCTTCAGCACGTCGACCTTGATCACGAATATGGCGCTCGTGTAAGGCCGGGCGGCCGGGGTAGGGGGGTTGAGCCGAGGCAGAGGTGTGGCGACTCTGTCGAAGAGCGTGTTCTCTGGAAAGAGGCCGAGCTCAGGGCACGAGGTGACCAGATCAGGCCAGGAAATGTCAGGCGCGATAGAAGCTGTCAATTTCGCTGGCTGGAAGGGCGTCATGGGCGGGGACAGTGAGTCGTGGACCCCGCAGGTTTCCGCAGCGATGCTGACCAGGACGGCACTTAGGCATGCGGCATCACCAATGGAGTGGTGGAGATGCATCCACAGGAGCAAACCGTCCTCCAGAAAGGTGACCTGCAGGCGAAAGGCCCTGGCACGAGGGAAGCTGTCGAGGTCGCCCAGCCCAAGAACGCGGTGCTTATCCAAGAAAAACCCCGGTGGCCACTGTAGACCTCGCAGTTCTTGGTAGGCACGAGGGAAATCATCACCCAGAGAATCAACAGGACGCTCCTCTACGGTGACCACTGAGGACTCGGTTTCGAAACAATTCGGAGGATTATATGCCAGATACAGCATCCCTGACTGTCTATCTAGATGAATCTCTGAGGCAATGGTTGGTTGCTTTTTCTGTAATCGAGACACGGCGGCCTGGAGGTGTTGCATGACCCCGGAGCGAGGATGGACGTTGTCGTAAGGGAAACAAAGGCAAGCGCTAATGTATTCGCGAGGAGCATTCTGGTTCCAAGAAGCCAGCTTCTCGTACACGGGAACGGTGAAATCGACCATGGTGGAAAAGAGTCGACGTCGTTTGCGATATTGCTCGATTTACGCACGCACACTGGAAAAGCGACCCAACCTATATATACGTATGTGAAAGGGGTGAATAAGTTCCACGATTTGGGCATCTGATCTTGATCATGGACCTGTGCAAGAGCGTAGTTCGGTAGCAGACGCCCCGAGGCTTCCACAAGCCATAGCTGGGTATACCAATGCCATTGTGTCGGCAACAATCGAAGCAGCTTTCGATCTGAATTCGATACAAGAGGTGTGGGAAGGAATAGTTACGATGTCGGGACGGGTCCGTTCAGAATTCAATACGTTGCGCCATGGGCAGCTCACAGAGATTGAATCGTGTGAATGTGGCGACAATCGATACCAAGCTCGTTGAATGGACACGGAGCCCTGTGTGGCCCAGAGACTGAACAGCCGTGCATGAATGGAAGACATGACTGTCGCATGTTGCAGAATGGCCGAGAATCACGAAGAAAGAATCCGAAGACTCACGAACGAGCGGCACTCACAATAAGCCGACATGGTGATCGTCAGGGTGGAAAGCGGTCAGCATCGAGGGGTCCTAGGTGGGGTAATTCTGCCACTCGTCCCACCTAAAATGTCATGAACAACGCCCTTCGCGTCGCCCTCCGTGACGCCCTTTCGATCGCCGGAGTCAGTCTAGCACAACCTTCTGATATATAAAGCATTGGTTTTAAGCTTTCGTCAAGAGCTTGATCTTCCTACTCACACAAAAATCGTCTACCCTCATCAAGCCACCCCTCCACCACCATGTCGCCCTGCACCATCCGCCACGCTCGTCGTGAAGGTATGTGTGCCTTGAATCAAGCTACTCTGTATTTCTACAGACCACGCACTGACCTGGACAGATGTTTCCACAATCCTGGAGCTCATCAAAGAGCTGGCCGACTACGAGAAGGAGCTCTCCGCGGTGCAGGCCACAGAAGAGACCCTCGCCAGCACCATTGCCTTTGCGCCCAGTGACTCCAACCTGTCCGCTCCGGGAGGCGCCGACTTGACGACACCTGCGCGACCGGCGCGCTGCCTGCTCGCCTTCGACGAGTCCAACACGCCCGTAGGCATGGCGCTGTACTTCTACAGCTACAGCACCTGGCGTGCGCGCCACGGCATCTGGCTCGAGGACCTCTACGTCCGCCAGACGGAGCGCGGCAAGGGATACGGCAAGAAGTTGCTCTCGGCGCTGGCGCGGGAGGTCGTGGAAACGGGCGGCGCCCGTCTCGAGTGGTCTGTGCTCAAGTGGAACGAACCGAGCATCCAGTTCTACAGGAGCATTGGTGCGCAGTCGATGGATGAATGGGTCACCATGCGCGTGGACGGCGACACCCTGCCCCGCCTCGCCGGGCTGGGAGCGCAGTAGCAGGGAAAATAATGTCCTTAGTAAATTGATACGCCTTGGTATTGTGTCTCATGCTTTGGTCTTCTTCTTGACCTCTCGATCAGGGCTCTGTGACCTCTGTCGAGTTGATGTAGCGCTGAAGCTGAGCTGGTGTGGCGACAGGAGGTTGGCCGCGTGTGCCCCACTGGAATGACTTTTTCAACGTAGTCGGATGTTGTTCGGCGAAGGAAGAAGATTCGTAAATCTGCCTGTATTGCCTCCGGAGCTGCCTACTGGACAGGGGTCGGATTCGGCTCTCCATGTCTCCGCCGTACGGTCCTACTTCTGGCTCGTCGACCAACCTGACATTCGTGACGGCCCGTGGCCTCTCCACCAAGGATGCGGGCCTGTCAGCATAGGGCGTCCAGTTCCAACTCTTTTGTGCAGGCTTGATTTCCGGTGTCTTGGAGTGCGCCAAAGGGCGCCGCGGCAGGGTTTTGTACTGGTCGACAGGTAGGTTTCCAAGGGCGGCCTGGGCCAGAGTATCCCACTCCGCTTTCGCTAGAGGTGGCATGACTCTGTCAGCCGCATGTTTCCACCACTTCTCTCTTCGGATGCGGAGTCTCCTCTCTGGCATGGGCCGGCCAAGGATGGTCTTGAGCGTGTCGAGGTCTCGCTCTGGGTTTAGATTGGTCAGGGGACTCTTCGACCAGGTTGCAGGTGTGGTGTGATCTTGGTGGCGTTTTTGCGATCGGAGATAGACGAGAAGATTTTCGGTATCCCAGTGGTCAGGTGTTCGCGGCTTCAGGGGCGGCTCTTTCTCCCTGCTCGCGGGCTTGTCGGTCGTGTTTATGGCGAGGTCCAGCTTGCTGAGGCGTGCCTCGAGCGCGGCCGTGTCCGAGGGCGGATCTTGGTAGAGAAGGTCGGCCATCAGTTCGCGGCGCCGCTTGCCAAGGCGCCCGAAGGCCAGGCGGAGGATGCGCTGCATGCGAGGAACATCGCCGGCGTTGGCGGCACGAAGTCGTCGAAGGTGCCTCTCACCTTCCCATAAAGCGGCCTTGGTGCGGCGTCTGGCTTCGCAGGCGGCTGTTTCGAGGCTATCGTTTGGTTTGCCGGTCCATCTCAAGCTTTTCAAGTAGCTTTTCGAAGATCGGAAGCGGTCCCGGATACGGTGGTACACGTACGGTCTGCATAGTTCGGGAAGGTATGAGGTCTCGCGGAGGAGGTGTCGGTAGAGATGTAGAGGAGGCACCGGTCGAGAGAGGGGCAGTCGAGACATGTTGTAGGTGTAAAAGGAGCTCAAGGAGCCCAAATCATGTGGGTGTGGTCATCAAAGGTGTCACCAAGACACATTCGTTCGCAAACCAGGCAAACCGATCGAGTGTTGAAATGGAGCCTGGACAGCAGGCGTCTAGATCAAAATGCTGCCGCCCTGCATAAGTCCCCTGAAGGCGCACAAGCAGCTTGAGTGGGGCGGGCCTAAAGCAAGACATTTGTGCACATGCACGTGCCAACTGCAAGCACTTCTGGGACGCTGCACGGCAGCACGTCTACAGGTAAGGTACCTACCTAGGGTACCTACCTAAGGCACCTTGTAAGGTACGATGTGTAGGCAGTAGGGTAGGTGCTCGCTCCCTGAAGGGTCACCAGGCCACGTCCCTGACGCGAAAGGACACGCCCTCAACACGCTCAAGACACGCAAACTCGCGAAACCGACACGTCTTGGGTTAATTGAAATTCCTCTTCTGGCCAAGCTCACGCGTCCAGCTCCATAGTTCCCATCTCCATCCATCCCCCCGTCTACCACATCTACGTCTCGTTTCTCGGCCAGACCCCGGCTCCAGAATCCAGAATTGACGACGGCCACGAAACAACCTTGCATCATTTCCTCCCCCTCAGCAACGCCGCCTTCACCGACAGCCTCAACTCACTCCGACGAACATCTCCACCCCCGCGCGGCACCCAGCATACTCACGTACACACACGCACAGTGGCTCCATGCGCTGATCTTCCGCCAAGGGACGATAATGTAGCTGACGCCAACCCGGGTACCTTTCCCTTTTCGCCTCGACTCGCATCCGAACTGCTGCCGCGCGACGCACCCGACGATTCCAAGAGGCTCCGGGCTTCTTCTGCTGCCTCTCTCCCTCCTGTCTTGCGAATTCATTCGGAGAGACGATTTCTACCCATTCACGACTGTGTTCTCGACGACAATCCGATTGTCCGCCACCATCTACATCTACATCACCTGTCGCGATATCCCCAAAACCTCCGCTATCCCTATCCTGCAGCCTCCGACGGCGCTATCCGCTCCTTCTTCCTCTAACTCCCCACGCACGTCACACTCGAACCCCCTTGGCTGGGCTATCGCCCTTCGCGCCCCCCTCACAGCCAATCCCTCCAACGATTAGACGCCGCACCCCCTCGACCCCCCCAGACTGAGCAACGTCGCGTCCGGTCCGATCTTCGTAATTGCCATTTTCCACTGACACCACAAGGTTGGCCTTGTCTTCGTTCACGATGCAGGCAGCATCTCAATCGAGACCCTCCTCACAGCAATCCTTCACCATGAGCCAACAATCCCAGCCGGGCCTGGCATCATCAGGGTACCGCCCTTACGACGGTGGCTCCAAGATGGCCGCGGCCGACCACCAGATCTACTCTGTATGTCTCCTCGCAAGAACGCTCCTTTTATGTCCCTTTTCCTGGATCGCGGGCTCTTTTTTTTTCCCTTGATTGACTAACATATACGAAAGGCCGTCTACTCTGGCGTCGACGTGTACGAAATGGAGGTCCAAGGTGTTGCCGTGATGCGCCGGCGCAACGACAGCTGGCTCAATGCCACCCAGATTCTCAAGGTCGCCGGCGTCGAAAAGGGAAAGCGCACCAAGATTCTCGAGAAAGAGATCCAGACCGGCGAGCACGAAAAGGTCCAGGGCGGCTATGGCAAATACCAGGGTACATGGATCAAGTTTGAGCGAGCCGTCGAGGTCTGCCGCCAATATGGCGTCGAGGAGATTCTTCGCCCTCTACTGACCTACGACATGGGCCAGGACGGCGGTATCGCTGGTCGCGGCGACATCAACACTCCGACAAAGGAGCAGGCCATGGCCGCCCAGCGCAAGCGCATGTACAACCTCGGCAACGAGGCCAGGGGCAACGGTCTCAGCGGCACCTTCTTCAAAAACATTTCCAGCACCGCATCGCATGCCGTGGCTGCTATCAGCAAAGCACGCTTCGAATCGCCGGGGCCCAGGAGCCGCAATGGCCCGACACGCGCCCCGAGTTTCAGTCGCCAGAGCTCGATGCAGAATGCAGACGATTTCCCCGGCAACTCGCAACAGAGCTTCGCCTCCGATTATGGTCAGCAGGCGAACTCGCAAATGTCGTCCCAACAGACACAGCCTTTTCCCGAACCGAGCGCAGAGCCGCCAAGGAAGCGACAGCGAGTCACAATGACCCCGGCCGACAGCTTTGGCTACACACATTCCAACATGGACATGCTCCAAGAGAACTTTCCCGGCTCGCCAACAGAACCTAACGAGTCCTTCATCTACTCACAAGCCGTCAGTAATGCGCAACCACACGACGGCTACAGCCCCTTGTCACCTCTGCCTTTCGAGGTCTCCCCCGATGCGGAACAAAAACGAAGCATGCTCATGGGTCTCTTCATGGATGCGGCCGCATCAGACCAGAACAAGCATGAAATGCTACGATCCTTTACCCCGGCCGAGCTCGACATGCCCATCGACCAGCAGTGCCACACTGCTCTGCATTGGGCAGCTACCCTGTCTCGCATGCATCTCCTGAAGACGTTGTTGAGCTACGGCGCTAGCCCTTTCCGCGTGAATGCAGCAGGCGAGACGGCTCTCATGCGGGCCTGTGTCGTGACGAATTCGATGGACCTTGGATCCTTCCCCGACTTGCTCGAGGTTCTCGGTTCGACCATTGAGGTTCGGGACGCAAAGGGACGCACTGCGCTACACCACATCGCCATGACAAGCGCCGTAAAAGGGCGAAACGCAGCCAGCCGCTACTATCTCGAGAGCTTACTGGAATGGGTCGTACGCCAAGGCAGCCAAGGCAGGGCAACGCTTTCAGACGCCGCAGCCAAAGGCCGCGATGCCGAAGGGGGCACGTCGGGCTCGCAGTCTCAGCAGCAAAAGATGGGCATCGGCCGCTTCATGATGGAGGTTGTTAACGTGCAAGACAACTCGGGCGACACGGCTCTGAATATTGCGGCGCGCATCGGCAACCGAAGCATCATCTCTCAACTTCTGGAAGTTCACGCAGATCCACACATCGCTAACAAGGCTGGTCTACGACCTCTCGACTTTGGCATTGGTGGTGACGCCGCAGAAGACAATATCAACGGTACGAATGGCGACGCGAACACAGAAAAGAACGGCGCTGCGCCCAGCAGTCAGAAGTCCCGCGAGAGCAGTGATGAGATCATCTCCTGTGAGTGCCCTGCCTTGATGCAAGCCTGTGAGGGTCAAGACTAATTCATTCAAGCAATAACACATCTCCTTCATGAAACCTCGAGCACATTTCAAGCGGAGATCAAGTCCAAGCAGGCCAGTATCGACTCGCTCCATGCGGTCCTCCGCACCTCGACGACTCAGCTCGCCGACGCCCGCCGCACCCTCGAGACCCTCCAGCAGACACATAAGAAGCAGCAGCTCGCTCGTCAAAAGGTTGCCAACCTGTCACACGCACGCGAGGATGAGCAGGTCCGTCTCATGCAAGAGCAAAAGCGCCAGGGCCGTCCCGATGCCCTCGCATCCGGAGCATGGGAGACCGAGCTGGCCGCCGTCCTTGAGGCCGCCAGCGAGAGCGGCGCCGATGGCGCTGCCGGCCTTCTGCCGCCCGGGGCGACGCTCAAGGCGCGATCCAAGGCCGTGGAGAACCGCAGAGACGGGCTGCGGAAGATGGCCCTTGCGTTGAAGGGGCGGAGTCGAGACGTCGAAGTCAAGTACCGCCGCGTCGTAGCCATGTGCACGGGCGTGCCCGAAGGCGAGGTGGACGCCATGGTTGACGGCCTGCTGAGGGCCGTCGAGAGCGAAAAGGGCGAGCTCGAAATTGGCCGGGTCAGGAGGTTCCTCGGCGGTGTCGAGAACGGTGTGTCCTAGAAGAGCCCCAAGACCGAGACGGCCGACATTGTGGAGTGGAAGGACCTGGTGAAGCAGCCACGGCCAATAGTGGCCTACAGCCGGGGACGAAAGACGACAGCGTGAACGTATATACGCCTTGCGCGAAAGGCGGCTCGGCGATGTATCTTGTTTGATTGTTTTTCTGGTGGCGTTTTGGATGGATCATTGGGCGGAAAGCACGTCCGAGACGGGTGGATGAGTCTTTTTTCTGTTTTTCTTTTTATGATACCTATCGGTAGATGCCTATACGGTGATCTTGGTGAATGCACTATTTCATTCTATGACGCAGTTTGCTACTGGGCCCGCCGCTGCTCGCCTTGAAACCTTTCAGTGCTACGTTCCTCCCTGCGCAAGCAGTGTGGTGTCGTTCCTTTAGGGGGGTTAATCAATCTGTCCATCAGACGTCATGAAGCCATGGACCAGGACCTGGAGATGAGCTGCAAGGGGACAGAATCGTCAGAACTGTCCAGTTGGCCCTCGCTGAGTAGTTCAACAGCTCTCCAGCTTCTTCCCTACTGTGACCAGAGTTAATTTGGATATTTTTGTTCAAGTCGCCAAAAAGTCTACTGTTAGTTTTCCGCATGGCCTCACATCTTCCCATCAAAGATGTGATAGGTGGTAGAGGATTCATTCCGTTGACAACTACCATCCCTGTCAAGGAGATACGCCGCCGACGCCAATCCCAGCCTAGGCACAGACTTTGCCGAGGATGGTCATAGCAGCACAAGAACCATCACGCCGCATTCTGTATAGTACGCCGGTGACCTACACTACGTGGCTACGATGCAGAAACTTGGACGCTTCACATGCAAGATCTGGACGCGACTGCAACTGAGCCAGCCCTAGCTTCAAAGACTGACGCGCGTTGTTGAATAAATCTCTCTTCCAACCCTAAATTAGATCCTGCTTCAATCAACTCAACTGCTCGTATTCAAAAATAAGAAATGGGACCGGCTCCTCGACGCCTTGCAATGCCATAAACACGAATCATAAAACGTCACGCTCCTTCCCTTTGCGTCTCAAAGCTTCCGGCGCGTCACCCCTCAGGCAGCAATACCACCAGCGTAAAGCCCTTGCCACCTCTCCTCCACATCTCCAACCCGGCTCCTTACGTCCTCGATTTCCGAATCCAACTCCTCGATATTGCGCGTCAGAGCGCTGACCTCCTCGAACCGCCTCGACCCCCTGGCATTGTCGATCATCTCCTTGACCATGAACCGCTGCTCCTCGAGCACGACCAGCCTCTCGCGCAGATCCTTCTCTTCCGTTTCGAGGGCCGAGACCTGCGTGCTCGCCTCGCTGCCGGCCTGACTGCCCGTCTCTGACGTGTCGACGGCCTCCCCGTTGCGCAGCGGCGAGGAAGAAGAGAGCTGGCTCAGCGACGACGATGATCCGTTCAGATTCTGTTGCTGCAGTGTCAAGAGGCGAGACTGCGAGCTCTGGGAGGAGCGAGAGCGGAGGATCTGCGGGACTGATTTCAGCGTGAGCATGTGCGTGTGCAAAAAAGCCGACGCCGCGGCGTAGATCGCGTTTTGGAGCCGAAGCTGCATCTTGGAGGTTGTCTTGAGGTCGCGGAGGCGGCGTGCGGCCGTGTCATATTTCGTAAAAGCGTCGGTGAGCCGTTTGCGGATCTTGGAGGCTTCCTGGATCTGTGCGTGTGTCGGGGGCGGGTGTTCGCCCGAGGCGTTGCTTCCTTCGGGTTGCAGTGCAAGAAGTGTCCGCTGGAAGATGGGCATGATCTGACGAATGCCGCGCTCGAACTGCCGAAGGGTCTCGTAAGCACGTTGATCAGGCGGTTTGGACGCCAAGGCTGCGTCAAAGTCGCGTTTGGAGAAGATGGTGTGGTTGCAGTCGCGACACATGCGGACATCGATGCTGAGCTGATCGGTAGCGGCTGATAGCTTTTCTGTGGTAGATTTTAGATCTAGAATCAAGTCAGTCCATCTTGCTTCGCTCGGCAGCATGCATGAAGAGACATACGACTAGCCACGTTCAATCCGACCAGCGTTGAGCAGCCTGTCTGGGGATCAGCGCAAACAACCCGGCCGCAGATCCGGCAGTGGTGCCTCCTGAACGTCCATGACCCAAAATCCTGTTGACAGAACGGACAGCTCGGCACCGACGCATCGTCCTCCCAGGTCACCACTGTTTGTTCAAGCAACTTTCTTGGGTTCCTCTGCCCTGTCAAGCTGGCTACCGATAAGGGGCCGTTGTGTGTAGCCACTTCTTCTGGCGGATTCGCGAGCAACATCGTCAGCTTTGTCAGCCGTTTTTCCAGCCTGGCGACCTCCAAGTTCTGCCTCTCGACTCTCTTCCGCCGGAGTTCCGTGAACGCGCTTGTGTGGTCGATGAGAACGCCGTTGTGGTCGTTGTATCCCTCGCGCGACTTGTAGCAAGTCTCACAAACTCTTGCCCAGTATCCTCGCACCGGCTCGTGCTTTGCAGCTCTCGAGAGCTTCATCTGATACATTGTGTGTTCTTCGCAAAACAAGCGTCCGCAGTGTCGGCAATTGATGCTCCCGTTGACGGCTCCGAGGTTCTTGCCACAAAGCGGGTCGGTGCAACGGTCATTCATAGTCTGACGCTGCCAATGCGATCTTGTAATGAGCTCATCGGGATCGATCTGCTGCTCAACCTGTGTTCGGGGGCCGGAGACGGGAGCAACAGGCAGGGTTTCGTTGGATTCGAAGACCTCGAGGCCGCGCAACTTTTGGTTGATGATGGATAAAGGCTGAAATCGCTTCGCCTTGGTGACCTGCTTGTCGAACCATGTTCTCACTTCATCCTGCTCGACCTCGGCCAGCTCCTGGTGTGCATCGTCGATGTGTCGATTCAGCTGCAACAAAGTCATCTGGCATCCAGTCAGCGCGTCCATGTCGGAGGTTTCACGTTGCCGAGGCGTACCATCTCTTCCTCACATATTGGGCAGACCAGCTTGGAGCTGTTGCCCCCCGATTTTGAAGGCCCGCCAAGGCTGATGTTGGACGTCAGGTCTTGTGCGGCAAAGTCGGGAGCGGGGCTGGAAACGGGCGGCGAGGTGGACGCCGATGTGATGGAAACGGTGCTCTCTGAAGGTGCGAAGGGGCTCGAGGCACGCTGGCGGACGGCGGAGGCTGTGGGCGGCGCCAGGCCTTTGCCGCTGCCCAGGACGCGGCCACCTCCCAGCTTTCGGCCGGACATGGCGAAGACTGGGGAGAGGCTGGCCGTGATATCGTGCTAGGAGATCATGAGGCACTGCTGATCGTGTCTGACGGCGGCTTCGGAAGAGTGGCTGGTTATCGTTGCCTCCGCTCAATCAGTCGGGAGCAACGGAAGGCTAAGGGGCTTATTTTGTGGATGTATGTTGCAGTTGCGAAGCTGGCCTGTCGGTGACAAACAAGGACGACCAGGCGGGGCTGTCGATGGAGAGCACTCGTGGTCTCTCGGGGTCTTGGCTACGATGGCCTCTCCACCATCCTGGGCTGCCTACCGCCGAGCTGTGGGTTCTGGGTTGGAGGAAGAGTGTGGGTCTGAGGGGTAAAATCGTTTTAGTGCATATTGGCCTTGACAATCCCCCTCCCACGTGCTGAACCCCTCCAACCAGTTATTCACTGCATTTCCCGCGCTCACCTAGGGACGTTGTGGAACAACGTTCGAGAAATCACATGGCCTTGTCCCTGATGAAACTGGCTTCGTTGTTGGGTTGGGTGCATACAACTTACAAACGCCATGCTGTGACTGCTCCACCATGCTGCCCAAGCGTTCCTTCATTTCTTTGCAGTGTCTGCTAGCATGCCTCACGTTTGTTAGTATGCGCTGAGAACAAACGGTATTACGATGGTGATAGTCTCCGATGTTGGATTGCAAACCCATTCTCCCTTCTATCTTCTTCAAAGTTGTACGTGTATAACGCCTTTCCCAGCTCCGGACTCCTGCACAGCTATACTGGCACCGCAGCACATCTGGAAGCAATTATCACCTGCATCCCATTATACTCCGACGCAAAAGCCAAAAGATCCGTCGAATATGTCGATTTTGGATGGCTCAGGATGGCGCCGCATGGCCTGGAGATCATCCACTGTAGGGACCTTGTTGTCCGCGTAGTACGTAAGTAGGTTCTCCATGTCCTCATCCGTGAAATCGCAGATGTCTTCCCAGCCATAGGCATTGCTAACTTTGATCATCCTGGCAGCTGTTAGACAGACCATCATAGTGGGCAGGGCACCACATACCATCCCATCCTCTTCGGGCTTGCCTCTGGGTTCGGAGCAATCTTTCTCAGCTTCTGACGCAGCTGCCCGATCGCCTCAATGGCATTGCCTGCATTCTTGGGCAGGGATTTCGCAATCTGCTTCCGAATAATGGCGGCCAACCTGGGGCCCTTGCCGTTCGTGCTGACCATGATCTGGAGAGGCCCATCGCGGTGGACGCTGCCGAAGTAAAAGTCGCATTCAGGCGGGACATCTGCAATATTGGCGGGAATCTTGCGCTCCTTGCAGAGCTTCCAGATCACAGTCGATGCTGCAGGGTCGTCGATGGCCGTCATGACCATATCGGCTCCATCGAGGTCGCTGGGTTCGAACACGCGATCGATGTGGGTGACTTGGCCTTGCTCGACACGGTAGGCTACTTCGGGGTTGAGGCCCGAGGCAGGGCATACTAATGTGACTTTGGCATCGGCGTTGAGGACATTGAGGATGCGTCCTGCGGCGACCTAACGAGAACCATCATATTAGCAAGGTGATAAGCCCATACGCTGGTTAGAGGGGGGGTGGGCGCACCTCGCCGCCGCCGACAACGAGGACATTCTTGTTCTTGACCTGCCAGGCAAGAATGAGACTACCGCCGCCCTGTACTTCGGGGAACTTTGTCGATGCAGCCATCGTATGCTGTTACATTGGCAATCGCAAGAGCGGCCCAAATTTGGTACCGCCGAACGAGGCCGCTTTCGGGGCGGCATTCAAAGCACCCCGATAGAGGGCTGCGTCATGGCGCATAGAATTGCTATGTCATCTGTCACGTGTAGCGTGACCCACCTTAGGTAAGGTAGTTCGCGCAGAGAAGCGACCTCACCTCTCACGATTTTACCCCTTTGAAGGTATCTTAGGAATGTTACCGAATGCTTTGGAGGATGCTTTTGTCGCGAGCACTTCTCTAGTATATGCCTCAATTCTGGGACTCAAGTATCGGAAGGAAACCTCGCGACCGCGATCTATGACCTACCTACGTTGAGATGGTTTACCTCGAAGACATCCATGGTGATGAACCTCCCACGAGTCTGGTGTGCTGAAGCTACGTACATTGTGTCGCTGTCACCCCTTCTGATATTATGGAGCCGGGTACCGCTACGGGACTTGATTACAGTAACCTCTTTCCCATCCTGAACACGCCGCGACTCGGTTTTATTGCACTCAGCACTTGTCCCAGCACTTCCTTGCTCAACTCATGTAACCGCTCACCCCAGTGCGTGATCAAATAGTACGTGGCCTCCAATATTACTGTCCTGCAATGCCATGACCTTCCTGCATCCTCATCTCGTCACCGTCAGAACTCGCCCTCCACCGTGAAAGTCACGCGGCCCGATTTGATGGTGTAGTTCTTGAACTGCTGTGGAATCTTGTCGTAATCGTCGAGATTGAGGCGCAGAGACAGAAGCGTGTTGAGCTCTTCAATCCACTTGTGCTGTTCTTCCGGCGTTAATAATGGTGGCAGAATGTATCCCGGCTGTTCCATGTTGTTACACTCGGCAGTTCCTTCACACCGGTGAATCCCTTGACTGTGACAATCAACAGCCTGCGCGGGATGTAACCAGGGTTCACGGCGTCAGAAATAAAATAATGTCGGGCTAGTTTTGCCGATCTCGTCGGACCGAAGGCACCTACGCCGAGCTCCCACGGTAGCCTGCCTCTGTTGTACACTTAACAATGGCCTTATGGCGTTAGCGCGACGAATGTCAGCTCATTTGCGTGGAACAGAGTTCGATTGCCGTAAACTCAATCCATCAACTGCTGTCGATCGTTTAAGCGACGTGAATTGCACGCCTCGTCATACGACACCTTCGACCCCACTGACTCACGTCGCAGGCTCCAAATCATACTTCGGCCGATGCCAGCCCGGACAACCGTTGTAATGAGTCTGGAGACTTTGCTGGGAGACGCCGCGCTCCTCAAACCGGTTCCTGTTGCCAGACTTCCATGCCTCCGACTGGACCTTTGCTGTCGGCTTCTTGTGCTTGTACGGATGGATCTGCATTGCCATACTGTTGACGGGTGCGGGAAGCCGACACTCCGGAGACCACAGGAAATTGAGACCATTTTCGCTCTGCTCCACTCTCCATCCTATGGCCTTGAAAGCCTGTACCAATTGCGACATGCTGTAGTTCTCATAGCCACCGAAAATGTTATCAAATATCCGCCAGGTGTCGGGCGCCAGAGGCGGGAGCGGTTCAGCTGGCACAGGTGGGGGTTCAGCTATGACAGGTGCAGCAGCTTCCTGAGGCAGCCTAGGGCGTGGGTTCGTATTCTGCCCTGGTACCCAGCCTGGTGGGTGATGAGCTGGGGATGTTGTCGTTCTAAGCTCAACGCGTGGGGGCGGTGTCTGCGGCTTCGGTGGTGTTGACTTGTGTGAGCTTGGTGAGCTCGAAAGGGTCTCAAGCTGGTCCGTCCGGTCCTGAATAATGATTCCCCAATGCTCCATTAAGCCCGGTCCTACTAGACTTTCCTGGCTGTTCTTAGGGTCAAGCTTAGTATGCGGAGCATCATCAAGAGAGACAGCGTCTTCTCGTTTGGTATCATAGCCGGCAATCCGAGCTACAAATGCATACCAGATGCCCCGAATGGTTCTGGACGCATCTCGGTCACTTGGTGATTTTCCATGCAGTAAAGGACTGAGAGACTTCAATGCTTGATGCCTGGTATAGTGTGATGCCCTTGGGAAGACTTCGCCTATTACAGTCGATAGGCTTTTCAGCAACGCTGATCGGGGTGGCTCAGAGCTCTGGCCAGGCCCGCTGTCCAAGTAAGGTCGAAGCTCCCGCTCGCCGTCGCGGTGTAAGTCGAGCTGCTTCACCATCTGAACGCAAATATTGAGGTTTTCAATGGTCTTGAAGACGTAGTCAGATATGAACTCATGTTGCCTCAGCCGGGGAAGCAGAGGCGTCAGCGTATCGAGAAGGTTGCCCAGTCCAACAAATGACGCTGCTTCCTTTTGTGTCACGAAACGATGCATGAGGTGACCAGTAAGGCTGAACAGCTGTTTGAGCTCCTCATCTGCGTTGGCACTATCGTCGTTGAGCACGAACCACTTTTGCTGATCTTGCGTTTCCATGCCGACGGGTAGAAGGTACTGGGGCAGTCCGTTGGCGATACTTCTGAATTTCGTGCTCCTGCGAAAACACTGCCTCCATCTGGGATGAGCATGCCAAATACCGCGACGAGAAAGATCATGCCAGTAGTGACTCGCAAACTCGCGGGCGTGGACCTGAAGGAAGAGCCAGTCCGAAGCCGACAAAGAGGCTGGACTCTCCGTAAAGCGATTGTAGTGCTCGTGAACGAAATGGAAGAGCTCTACATCGAGAATCCTCCTTCGAAAAACGCGCTCGATGATGTCTAAAGTCACTTCCGTCACGACAGCTTGCGGCATGTTTGAGGCTTTGTCAAGGTTCTCTAGAATTTGATCTTTCTTGTCGCGGATCCACCCATGATGATGCTCAAGCTCGGTCTTGAACATGATTTTGAGTGCTGAGCTGTTTTTCATCAGTTCCTGGAACATGGCGATGCTTTCGAGGCGCTGCGCCTCAAGGCTCGGTATGACCAACGGTTTGGCCCCTGTTGAATCACTTCCGCGGTGGGGTTTGGTGTAAGGCTGGTATCTAGCCTGCTCAGAAGAGATGCCGCGAGGATCGCCCAGATGCAGGCCAAGATCGGCCCAAGGCTTGTCTGTCCCAGTACATCGTTCTCTCATCTGAAGTTCTCGGTACTGTGCCAAATCCTCAGTGATCCAGGATAGTTGGCCTGGCGATTGCTCCGCATGGTTACTCCATTTCATTATGGCATCGCAGCAAACAACATTGAGGAAGTGAAGCATGTAGTTTTGTGCCGACAGACCGCAAAGCCATCGAGAAAGGAGTATGTGCGCCCGGCTTTGTCACTCTCGATCTTCGACGCGGCTTCTCTCGACCGAGCATTGCAAAGCTTTTTTGTGAGTCGTCTTTCAACCTCACCCGCAGTCTCTAGGAACTCTTGACGTTTTGTGTCGTTTCCACCAGTGACAGGAGTCATTTTCAGCCTTGTGTACTTTGCTCCAATGGGTGCCCACTCCGCATGACCATTAGATCTCCAGTATTGCGCAGAGAAGTCGAATAGCCTTCCATAGGTTTCAGTGTGTTCTTTAAGCTGCGTAGCCTCTAATTTCCAATCTTCTTTCTCGGCGCCAGAGGAATTGGTGGTCAAGTCAGGCTCATCGAGACTCATTTCTGTCCCTAGAAAGCATGCAAAAGGCGAAAACCATCGATTGGCGAGACCGACGTACATTTGTCGAAAGTCTGCCCTCGCAAAGGCTGCCGGGTGGTCGTCAGCACGAGACACAAGGAAAGCTGCCAGCATGCCCGGATCGTTCAGGTTCTTCTGGCAGAGCAAGGGGGCCAGTAAGTCAAAGAACAATTCGTAGACCAGGCGCATGCTGTTCAGATAGCGCAGGGACTCAATGGTGTTGGTTTCCCGCATCTTGAACCGCATGCCTCTGATAGCGGCACATAGTTCTATTCCTGCCTCAGTGTACGGGTACCCTCCAACAATTGCAACACCCTTGGCCTCGGCAATCATGTTTGCCACATCCTGCCTGGCGAGGCGAGCAAGGGGGAGTGGCGTTGTGCTCTCCGGATCGCACTTTAGAAAGTACTGCTGTGTTTTCTTCCAGCACTTGTCAAAGAACAGGTGCCGGGCACCCAGGGGGCTGTGTTCGAACAAGTGCGCCAAAGCGTTGGTGAGAACCGCATTATGTTCCTTGTCATGTATTCTGCCCCGGAGGATCTTCCACTCGCGAAAGATTTCCTCGCTGACACACTTGGCCTCGTCACAAATATTGCCTAAGGAGTGTGTGCCATTAAGAGGTCGGTGATTGAGAGGTGACGGAAACATCGTGCCAGGGCCATATCCCATCCCTGTCAAGTAATATTTGTGAATAACCTCAAGTTCGTCCGGATGCTTCAGGTTTTCGTCGAGGGGGACAGAAACATGACTGTCACGTTTTAGCAACTCATTCAGCTCTTGCGACCCCCATACGGCGTCGTCTATCTTTTCACGCGGCTGACGGGAACGTTCTCCAAGCCAGACTGGCTCAATTGTTGCCCCCCAGACTGGAGAACCGAGCTCGGAATGGTCTGACTTCTCGGACATTGTGAACCACTCAGCCGCGCGTGATTCTTGCTACTATAATCAACCAGAGTGGAGCAATTTGGAATGTTTTTCGGATAGCCTCGGTGAAGCTGTCACGGAATTCGGACGAGGAAGGAGTGGTGGATTGAAGAGATAGCTTGTTGACAGAATCGTGCGCCTGCGGAACGATGTTCAGTCCAATAGTTCATAATGGTGACAAGATGCTGAGTACTGACCGGATATGCTTGAAGACAAACTTTTACTTGCGACTGGAGCTGGTAGGAGTGACTGCAAGATCGAAATCTTTTCGCCGTCGTCGCCACCGTTGTTGTTGTTGTTGATAAGGAGGGTACAATACGACCGTGGCTGATAATTCTGCAGCCTCCCATCAACCAACGATGTCGGCTGCTGTGACAAAAATTCAAGGACTTTGGACAGGACATTTGCATAAATGAAAGAGCGAGAGGAACAGTCATCGCCATCGAGATTATGATTGAACCTTGATCATCAGCCACCTGAAGCAGTTCGCTGTCTACGACAAAGAATTCGAGCACAAATACAAAGCAGGGAATTCTAGGCTATGCATTCAAGTCCACATCGAGATCGAGCTATTCATGGGATCTTGAACAACAAATTATCTCAGGTGATCAAAGGCCTAGTCTGAACTTGACACCCGAATGCCATGAAAGCGAAGAAAGCGTACACATGTTGGTGGCTTGGGGCTAAGTCTTTGTCGCTTGGGTGAACCTTCAATGTAGACCTTGGCACTTTCAGGTAGGCCTCGATCACATTTGATTGCAGCGCCCATGTTCGTGTGTCCGCAGACGCCCACTTTGTGGTAGATGGAGCCGCTGCCTTACCATAGTCCCGTCGCTGGCGCAGAGCATCCAGTACTATTCATCATGTGGAGGGTTTGGCACTCCGCCCAGCGCGGCTTTTCTCGTCCGACACCCACGGAACGAGTCGATTGAAGACTTGATGCCGCTCACATAAGACGTCACGTCACCATGTTTGACACACATTAAGGGGGGTATCTTGAAGCCTTAGCTCATGTCCATCCTCATTATTCTTCCTACATAAACATCCTCCTAGATCCCTCGTGACGCCTTGACAATCCCAACAGTCGACGTACTGGATGAGGTTTCCAAGTCTCGGGTATCGTGATCTGATCTGTGGCCTGTCGTGACAGTGACCGTCACGCCTTCCCGAAGAGAGCCGTCGGACGAACGGCGCCCATCGTGTGGTCCCACTTCATGAGAAGTCACTTCCACCTTATGTTGTTGGTAGATCTTGAGAGGGATGCCGCCGAATCCGCCGTTGATCTGTTCCTCGCTCGCAGATGGGTCGAGGTCGTGATCGCCGCCGCGTATCGTGGATTGAGGGTTGCGGCTGTAGGCCATCGAGCGGAAGTGCGATGTTGAAGAAGGATAGCCAGAGCGTTGGTTCGACGACTTGCCGTTGAAGGACTTGAGGTGGAAGAGACGTCGGAGAATTGTCCAGGTCATGGGCAAGTTGGCGACGATGAGGGCGGTGGAGGACTCGCGAATGTACCAGAACGTCCAGGCCGAGCCGAAGGGTTCGTTGAAACTGTAATATTTGTTGAGAATGGCCGAAAGAATCTGTTACGGAGGGTTTGATCAGTCAACTGATAACGGAGAAAGTGCGAGACTGAAAATTTCACTCACAGTGAAGGCGCCTAGGGCGAAGACGCCGCACAGTATCATCTTCTTCTTCTGGGGAATCTGGGACTGGAGGAACAACGGCATCGGGATCAGAATGATCATGACATCCGACGAAATGTTGATGACGGCGTTGGTGATAAGGTGATTCGTGGCAGCCGAGCATTGAACTGAAAGCTTATGTTAGGATGATCATCGAACGCGATGTCGAAGGGTGGAATAGACTGACTGTTGTCCGGGGGGACAGCCCAGTACTGGGTGAATGGTCTGCACCAGACACCAAAATAGAGGATTTCCATGACGATGAAGCCAACGGCGGCATAGCCGGCAACAATTTTGACTGCCAGGTTCTGTTTAAGACTCATGCTATAGACAAGACGAGTAAGTATCGGACCAAGGCGAATTCTGGAGCAAAGGGGACACGAACGTCAAGCGGTTATACATGATGAGGAAGCAGCCCTTTACCGACCAGATGACGGCGCACTGCATCTGTTCAACAACGAGGACCCATTTCGAGCCAGACTCGCGCTCGGCGATGTCTTCGGCAGTGAAATTGAGGTCAGTACCAGGTGCGATCAGGTTACTGTTGGTGCGTGCGATAATGTTCATGCCCACGATCAATACAGTGTCGCAGAGCTTCAATTGAGGTCAGTCCTGGACCATCTCATGGGTGATGTGGAGAGGCGGGATTTTCCGGGGGTCGAAGCACTCACCATGGCAAACATCATGAGGGCATCGTCGGCCTGCAGCTTCTTGAATGAACCCTGCAGCAACCTGCGTGAAAGCCTGGACCACGCATGTTAGATTCCGATGAAGTAACAGAAAGCTATCGTCAGATGTCACACGAAGTGGGTGCAATTGCAGAGGGTATGGGGGGATCTAGAGTCAGGAATCTGGGGGAGGGGAATATTGAACCCACATTCTGGCTACCACCACGAGCCACGTCAAGCCATACCACGTCCATGTTTCCACAGCGAGGTGCGACATGGCGGGAAGAAAGACAGCCTGCCAGCGGGCAGCTTTGCTCAATTGACACCTTTTCTTAACCGTTCAATCGTCAGGTCCAGCAAGGATCGGGACCCAGACGGAAAGACGACAATCGCACACACTCTTTGGCGGAGGAGGCAAGAAAAGCTGGTTGTGTAGATCTTGGACGAGACGAGAAACTCGAAGCAACGGCGCGTCAACATCTGACCGCGAGCGACACTGGTGCCCCCTCCATCTTTATGAAATGGACTACCCGTTAGGCCATGAGCACGTCCGGACTGACGGGTGGGTTGGTGGTGGGTGGGAATAGGGGAGTGGGGTGGACTGGTCGTAGACTGAGCGGGGATTAAGACTGAACCTGGCTTAGCCAACCCAAGGTCTTTCACGGCCCTTTGGAGAGGCTCCGACGACCCTTCCATCTCTGCCAATACCTGTGAAGGCGGCCCTCAGCGGTAGCCTCGATCCGGCGACCAGGGCGCGGTGGCTTTCTTTCGACGTTCCATCGAAGGGACGCCTGTGCAAAGACTGTGACATGGCCCGGGTCGCATGTGCATGGTGAGAAGGAATTGCCACGTGTGGGCGTGCTGTGCGCCCATGTTCTGCTGAGCTCCTGTTTGGAGAGAGGCGATCCTCGCCCATGCTCGTCGTCGGCAAACACGACATGCCGAGACATACTGACCAGTGATAGGCGTCCTCTGGAAGAGTAGCATTTGTTCGAGAATAAGGACCCCCTGCTTTAGTTGTGACGCTATGGGACGCCACTGGACAGCAACCAGGGAGCGGCCAGAGACGGCGCATGTGACGGCACGCCGCGCCGAGGTCGTGGCATGATCGGCGGCCGTTAGTAGGACTTTTGGCAGTTCTCGGGTGCTTTGCAACGCTTATCATCATTAATCAAAGAATCGATTAGAACCTTCTTACAGAAAACGCAACGAAAAATAAAAGATGCGCAAGCAAGAGGAACAAACAACACCAAGTGGTCGCGAGAACCCATTGCCAGGCACCCTCCCTGAAGCATCATGGATGCGACCCCTCTGCAAGCTGGGCCCAGATCTAGCCGGCTCCAGCAGCACTACCTTTGAGCTTCGGCGCTGTAGTCCAGCTGGGGAAGGGCTGCTCGATCGATTGATTGATAAAGGGGCGAGGAGGGAGGAGCGGGCCAAGGCTGGTTGCTGCGGGACCCTGAATCGCGTCTAACGGGCATGAGTCGAGCATGAGGCGGATCACAGCCTGATCCCGACTAGGCCAAAGCCAAATGCACGCTCGGCCCCAGAAACGACGCCATAGTGTACCCATTACAAAGGGCGCCTCCCCCTTGACAAGTCGTCTGGCATGACGCCACCCCCCCTGAGCAGCGAGAAATAGGCTCAGGCCGGTAGAACCAGCTGACGCATTACACGAAGCCGTGTCTTCGTGATTGCCGCCTCAGCACTCGTTGATGGCTGCCAAAGTTGTATCGCGGGATGAACATCCAATAGCGGCGGGTTCGGTAATTCCCAAAAGAGAGTCTGCAGGCTGCAGCTCGCAGGATGCACCCTAAGTAGCAGGAGACTCGCTGCAGGCCTACCCTGAAACCCAATTGAGACGGCGTTGAGTCCCCATGCCCAGACTCTCAAGGCTGAAGTGTTCGTGTCGGAGGTGACACGGCACGCTGGAAGGTCGAGGCTTTGTTCGTGACAAGGGAACGAGACTCGACCTTCCCATGCCCCGACAGCTGCGGAACCAGCTTGAAGAGGTCTCGTGATGGCAGACCGATGCAGACCATGTAAGTCTCCATGACATGCAGTGATTTACAGTGCCCCTGCTCGGTGGCGCTCAATAGCCCCTACACCGGCAGGCAACGAGAGGAACCGATCCCAAGACTCTGGCTCGAGTCTCGGATGCCAGCCTCCAATCTCACCTCCGACATATCTACTAATCTCCGCTGCAAGCTCATCCTGGCACCCAAGACATGAGCCCTCAGGGACGAAGTAGTTGAAGGTCATCATTGGTTTGAGGGTCGAGAGGAGTAGTAAGTCGGCGATAACCAGGGTCACCTTTTCCACGTGGCGAGTCTTCATGTCAGTCGGGGCCTGGAGCTCAAGTTTGAGTCAACACACCACCTTCACTTGATCCCAGCCAGCGAACGCCTGGCCATTGGCTAGAGTTAGCGAGCCGCGATTTGAAGTCGCGGAATACCAGCTGCAGTACAGATGGTGTCGCAGACAGAACGCCTCGAACGATTCATGCCTATCGCGTGCTTTACTCGTGGCTTGGTCTTATTATCCCCGATACTTCGCCTCCACTGTCAAGAATATCCTCGGTCTGCCCCCCTTGACCTTCGGCTTATCGCCGCGATCACCACCACGACCATCTTTCGAGCTTCACCTTCCCCGTATGGAGCGCTTTATCTGGGGACAGATTGGACGGCGTCTCTCTTGTTTGCTTCGAATTGTAACTAGCGGGTGTGTCCCGCGATAGGACTTCAAGCTGATCCAACGACTGCACTTGAGGTGATTACGAAGACAATTTCAGAAAACGCCCCCTGAAGAATGATCCAGTCAATCGAGCCTCCTTTCTAAGACGACACCTGGTCCGGTGAAAACGTCATCCATTGATCGCCTTCGGTAGTAGATATGGAAGAGGGCTAATCGCTACTCGACGACACCTGTCTCTTTGTTCTCGATCTAGGGACCTGGTCAAAGAAACGAGAACCCCACCCCTAAGAACTTACCACTGTCAGCCTACTTTACTCTACCTGAGGCGCACAAGTAGTGACCCATGACCGTGAAGCATGAGATGCCACGTTTTTTTCTGCAGCATCGCGGACGACCGTTTCCTTATCAGACGGTCTTGTGTCTTGGACCGCCTATCGGTAATGCAACGTGTGCTAGCGGGAAGGCCCTAGTCACGTATCTCTTCTTGCATCTCCGGATGAAGTTTGAATCGGATGCTCAGCATGTTTTAGACTCCATCACAGCGTCGAGGCAATAGTATAGTGAGGTAAAAGATGACACTGCCTGCCGCGCTCACGAGGTAGTACGAGTGCTTCTCGAGTCCATTACTTATATGACTAGCGATGTTTTTGATGCCTAGAAGGACTCCATCGTAAAGTCAACTAAAAATAAAGATCCGGTCCGACAACGGACACTCTTCGTGACCTGGTCCTCGCTTACAACCTGGTCGAAAGACGTCATGTAATCCCTCCTTGTATTTCTCGCATTCAGTGACCATGTTGCGTGGAGCATAAACGAGACTTAGTGTGCTTCTCCAGTGATTGCAGCGATCACGCCCAGGAATGATGGCCTCCCCGTACCATTCTCCGTAGTCGCAAGCCTGGTCCCGGTACCACGCAACGAACAGAGTTCCGTGGTGCACAAGCTCAGCCTACCTTATTGTATTCTGAACTCCACTACGCAAGCGATGGCAACCTGACCCATCTTTGGCCATGCTTCAACGATGCAACCCGTTGACGAGCATGCCGCAAGTGGAAAAGCCCAGTCTTTCATCTCAAAGGTCTGTTCCCACATCACGAAGTTTATTGCCGGGATGCCAGGATTTCGGGACCATGAAGTTACATCCAGATGCATTCTTTGTGGTGATAAGCCTCCGCAGTGACTTGTTTCCCCTCCTGAGTTTTTCTAATTCCGGACCGTCAAAGAAAGTTTTAGCCGAATCTACATCGCTTCCTGTGCAGCTCGGGTTCTGATGATGTACGTATCTTACGTGTTGCAAATAAAGCGAGCCATTAAGGTGCTTGTAAAGATCCATGTTCCCGGCACCAGCCAGTACATGTGTCGCTCGACGGGTCCATATACGAAGATTCCTTACGAGTCTGACGTGAGCATTGGCTGAGCATCTGTGTTCGTATCGAACATGGCACCTTGGAGCTTTCACACACAGAAGGATGTTACGGTAGAGAGCTCACACGCGATGACTTGCAATATACGCGCCCTCGAGCTGGCATTAGCTCCCGTGTTTTCACCTAGCTTCATCTAAACCAACCGAATGCCGAGCGCTCAAAGTCTGGCAGATCAGAATGATGTACTGGACCTATGATAAGTCATCACGATTTGCAGGACCAGCCCACATTCTCATCCAAAATGAGCGCCACACGGGTTTCTAATTATTAACGTGACCGAGAAATTGCATCACAGTCGTCATTTTGGGGGAAGCAAAGCGGCTTGGCCGTGCTCTCTCGGGTTTGTCTTTACTGAAAGGTACATCAAATAGCGCCTTCTCCTCTGAATTTCTGGGAGAATAGCGCTTGGCGCCACGGGTGTCCAGACATTGACATATTGGGATCGTCGTTGCGGGAAGCCTCAGCATAGTCAACGATCTTCTCCGCGAATGGTGTGAGCCTCGTGGGGATGGGGTGTCTTCATGCCAACCTTCGTTGGCTCGCGTCCAGATGTGGATATCTCTCCGTCTGCCATTGTTTTCATTTCTCAATCAGAAGCAGCCTTTACGTCCATCTAGTGTTCAGAAAGGATTGTCGTCAGGGCCGACGTCAAGGCCTGCTATGTCTGAAGGCGAACAAGGCCATAACATGATGGAGGAGCACAAATGATAAGAGCTCGTCAAATCCAATGGGACGAGTCTCGCTTTTGGGGCAGACTTGAGAACAGTCAGCTCTACCTGCAGCAAAAGATATACACAGTTTGTGAACCGACATGTTGGTTAAGCGGTGGAGCTCAAGTATTGCTAACGAGGTTATGGGAACTGGTGCTGTTGCCTTTGCAACTAGCGAAGCTATTGACAAACAAAGTCGCCATGTTTCCGAGCTTCACTAGAAGAAGACTGTGCGACTTGCTCATTCAATGGGCTGAGAGTGATTCATGATTCTCATGGTGGGTGACGTGCATTTCTGGAGAATGCGGGGGAGGGGAACCTGGCAGGTTCGCAGAGAGCCTGGCGCCAGCTGGCATGTTGCTTCTCGCCTGTGACGCGTTTCGTGCAATCGCGACTCGGCTCTCCAAACAACAATCACCTCCGTCAAAGGACGGAACAACGCCTTCACTTGCTGCGAAAAATCCAACTACCTGCGCGACGCCAATTTCCATACAAAAGTCCCAATCTTCGATCTCAACACTGCTTCACGAGTCATACCTCTGCTGGGCCCGGGAAGCGAAGGGTCTTTCCCACGTTGCTTTCTGCCTCGACTACCAATCGCGTTCTGAGCACCCTCGCAAGGCCTTCAACCATGCCGCCTCGGAGGCGCAAACGCCCCTCGGGCGCGAATGTCCCTACGACAGTCTCGACGCCGCCTACCAGTGACCCAAATGAAGAGCTACAAGACCCTCCACCCCCGTTCTTCAACACATCCTTCTCAACCTATCGCAGCTCGCCCCTCTACATAGGCAACGAGCCTCTTTCGCCAAACAGGCTGAACGACCTCGCTCTGAGGCTACGCGACACCCTCGTAGGCGACGTCGTGCGGGGTGTTCAGGTTGGTCTGGAAGGCAACGACACATCGCTTGGACGCGCAGGCTCCCTCGAGCGCGTCGTCATGCGGTGGTTCGAAGCAGGTGCGCTGCTGAGGCACGAGCCGGACGACACACACCGGCCGGCAAGCCGTGATCTCAGCAGTGACGCCATATTCGAGCGCGCGGGCGGCGGCGTAGGTTCGACGGGGACAAGAGGACTTTGCATCGAGATGCGGTACGAGAATGCCCTCTGCACGGCCATCATGTTGCCTCGGCTCGAGGGCAATGGCCGGGCTTCCGAAGATGTATTTCATGGGCGCAACGGCGCGATCATGCCCGGGTGGCTTGGGATAGATAAGAACACGGAAGCTGATCAAGGGCGATTCATTCACCTTCCGCTGCTGCTTCTTCGCATGCCGACGCCGATGAAAGCTTTTGTTACGGACTTTCTCGCGAGGACGTTTGATTGTCGCATCAGTCCCCTGCGCATCGGAACGAAAACCCTCGTTGCGTCGTGGGAGCGATGGATTAAGCAGGCAGGACTCCCGACCCAAGGTCCTCTGGCCAAGGACCTCGTGCTGACGCTGGGATTCTTCACGACGCCGCCTACAGAGCCTGTCGCAACGCTCGAAGGCTCGGCTCCCGCCGTCGAGAGTCTCGGTATTAAGTCAGTCGATATTATCATTCCGCCCCCAGACCTTGGCCGATTCGTCCAGGTCGGCGAATCACGAGGCGTTGGGTCAAAGAGGAAGCGCGCGTCTCAAAGCTGGGAGAACGACTCCCGCAAGCGAAGTAAACTGGCAGGCGGCAGCAGTGAGGAGGGTTGGTCATGGCGCGATGGGGAGGACCGGGAAGCTGGCGTGGTTAGGCAGCCATTTATTGAGGCGACGGCTGAGTACTTTGACGAGCACCTGGCCATTGACCTCTTTCACCCGAGCGTCCGGATCACGAAGATCGCCTGTGGCGGCTTTGCCTTGTCGGAGAACCGAATTAAGATTTTCGCGCCGGGCTCCGGGGAGGATGATTCTTCAATGCTTACCGCGTCCCGCGCGGTGTGGACACTGGTGTCTGATTTGGTGGACAGAGCAGCCTAAGGAGCTATGATGTGATGACGGAATGATCAAGGGCGGCTTATGATACCCTGGGAAAGCCGAAGAAGTTGTGGAGCATGCAATGTTGTTTTGAATCCCTGGTTCTGTTGATTGTGAAGGTTGTTGGTTATTTTCTTCTTCGGACAATAGTATCACCCGCTGCTTTGCAATGGAACAAGTGTTGGATCCGTCTAGACATATATTGTGGGGCTGTGTTATTCGCTTTGCAAAGGAGGGCTGATGGCATCCCAATCCTTCGCCCTGACTGATCGATGACTAGAACGTCTCAGAACACTTTCCTTGCCTCGCCGCCCTCCAGATCTGGCACAGGGGTCCGTCTGGTCCGCTGATAGGGTCGTCGGCAGGAATGTCGACCAATGCGATCTCCTCGATCAAGGGGTCATTCTGAGAGACCTCTTCCTTTCCGTACTCAACCTTCCAAATCGGGCCGTCCCTGGGGTACACACCGATGTACTGGTAATGCAGCTCGTCTTCGTCGAGATCCCACTTGACTTTCGGCTTCCCGACAGTCGGCACCGATGCATGAGCAACCCCGGCCGGCACAACAATAACGTCGCCGGGGTAGACTCGACACGTCACGCCTGCGGCCGGATCGTCAGCTCCGCCTGCACCAAAGACGAGCTCCGAGCTGCCTTGAAAGACACCTATGGTGGCATGTTAGGATTCGCGTGACCACAAATGCTGGCCAGTGTGCAGCTCGACGTTGGGAACGGACCGTAGCATTCGTGCGTGTTCGGGTGGAAATGCTTGACGATGATTGTGCCGAACGTGCCGCGCTTCTCCCAGCCATGTTTTTCAAGCGCTTCGCTCGTCGTCGCCTCGTTGTGGGGTCGAGGCAGCACGTCGCGATAGACAAGAACGGGCAGCACGTTGTTTGGGCAGTGCGCCGTGGGCTTGATGTGGTATTGTTCTGGTTGTGAGTTCAGCGCTGCCATGGCCTCGGTCGCGCGGCTGTTCAGAACGAGCTGCTATGGATTGCGCTCAAGCGTGTGAAGAACGTTGTTACGACATCGTGTTTCCTCTGTCCATGATCCCCTTTGGAGTGGTTGTCTGCTGATCTCGTTGAAGGATTGGACCCCGCATAAGAGGAACTTTCGTCATGATGCGAACTTCGGCCTTGGCTCGTAAACCGAGACCTTGATGTACTTCGCATGGGGACTACACCCCTTTCGCCCTTCGCAATGTTAGGCCCATTCATCTCTAGATGTGCAGGATATTCGAGCCTTCACTTGAAGCTTTGAAGTGCATTTTCAATCGGCGTTCCTACAGACGTAGGCCTATATACCCTTAGCCGAGCAGCGAACCGTGGGGTACCAAGACGGGAGGTTACAGCTCAGAGGTATGAGACTAAAGTTCAACCCCCCTAATCCGGAGAAACCTCGGGGGGGGGGGGGTAATAGCATGCACAATTCAAGGTGCACGGGCCCTATACAGTACGTACAGTATAATTTCAAATATTAATATCTTTAGAATTAAGGGTATTTAAGATATATATGTTAATATATACTAGGCATATGCTGAGTATATGTTTAGCATATACCTAGTATATGCCCTGAGGAGTTAAATTCCTAAGGTAGGTAAGGCATATGCCTAGCATATACTTAGCATATGCCTAGCATATGCCTACTATATACTAATATATATCTATTAATTCTATTATAAGGATTTTTTTTTTTAAAAAAAAAAGTCGAGTACAGTATATACTTATATTATTACTGTGGAGTTATGTAATTCACATAAAATTATGCTAACTACCCCCCCCGAGGTTTCTCCGGATTAGGGGGGTTGAACTTTAGTCTCATACCTCTGAGCTGCGACCCGCCAAGACGGCTTCCTCCACCGACTTGACTCATCTCATGCCGAGACGCCGAAGGTTCCCCGCCCACGCATCGATTTTCAGCAAACCAATGGCTTAAGAAAGGTTTCGCGAATGAAAAACTGGCGAATGAAAAACTGGATTAACTCGGTCGAAGGGCGCAATTTGCTTCATATAATTCTCTGGACAACGGGAGCGTCTCCAACACTTCAAGTCCCGCCACCCCCCGGTCTGTCCCCGAACACCCCGCAGTCATGCCCGCGTTCCGCCCACCATCTCCGCAAGAGGATGTACTCATCATCGGCGCCGGCGTCTTCGGCCTCAGTCTTGCCTATGAGCTGAAGGCCCGCCGCGACTACGACAGCGTCACCGTCCTCGACCGCCATCTGCCCCCGGTTCCGGACGGCAGCAGCGTCGACATCTCGCGCATCATTCGCAGCGAGTATGCCGATCCTTTCTACGAGTCACTCGCGCGCGATGCGATTCGGGAATGGCGCGAGCCCGATTTCTCTCCCTTCTACCACCAGAGTGGTTTCGTCATGCTTGCCGCCGACGATGGGAATCCCTACTTCGTCAAGGCGAGGGACACGTCGGCGGGATCCGTCAAGGTCGACATTTGGGGGTCAGATGAATCAAACGCCGCCATCAGGTCCGCTTATCCTGGCGCTACTGCTGACCTCACGGGCCTGAACGCTGCGCATAACACCCAAGGCGGCTGGGCTGACGCGGCAGCCAGCATCAGGGCCCTCGCCGTGCGCGCCAGTTCGGCTGGCGTCTCGTTCATCACTGGCCAACACGGCACCGTGACAGAGCTGTTGCGGGATGATTCGGGCAAGCGAGTTGTCGGCGTCCAAGTGGCCAGCGGCGCGACGTTCAAGGCATCTCGCGTCGTGCTGGCGGCCGGCGCCTGGACCAACGGTCTGATCCATGGCCTCGAACACGCTGTCCGCGGTTCAGGACAGCCCGTCGCCTTTATCCAGTTGACGCCTGAAGAAGCAGCAGCGATGGAGCGCACACCTGTCATCATCAACATGGACTCGGGAGTCTTCACGTTTCCCCCCACGCCAGACACGCGCATACTCAAGGTTGTGAGGCATGGTTTTGGCTACGCCACCGAGCTCCCAGCGCAGGGTGACCGCGTGAGCGGGGAGAGGCTTGTATCCATCCCAAAGACGAACAGCTGCAACGCCAGCGCCGATTTTATCCCGGAAGATGCCGAAGAAGGTCTACGCGAGGGCCTGCGCATCCTGGCGCCAGCTTATGCAGAGAGACCTTTCATCAAGACGAGATTATGCTGGTATAATGACACGCCCGAGGGCAATTTCGTTGTGGACGATCACCCAGAGATAGAGGGCCTGTTTATTGCTACCGGTGGCTCAGGACAGTAAGTCTATGTTGATCTTCCGCAACGCACCGTTGCCCCACTGAGCATACAGATATATTGCTAATGACCTAATTCTAGCGCTTTCAAATTCTTGCCTGTGATTGGCAAGCAGATTGCCGACTGCTTCGAGGCCAAAGCCTCTGCGGAGGTCCGCGCGAAATGGACGTTGAGGGCGGCTGAGCCTGGACAGAGCAAGCTCGTCATGGAGGGCGACGGGAGTCGAGGCGGACCGGCTCTACGGCACCTGTCACGAGAGGAGCAAGAGAGGCTGTAACATGACCGTGAATCATGTCGGAACGTACCATCCCATTGCCTGCGAGCTCTGACGTAGATGCATCATTGTCGAACGATACGTAGCCTTGAGCGATTTGGTGGGTACGGGGTTCCAATACACCGGATCCCTTCTCTTCTCCGTCTCGTTGCATTGACGTATGCATTCAGGAGACTTTAGTAGGCTCTCGCACGGGTGAACCGGGGTACACCGGTAGACGGAATGTGTTAAATGGTCATAAGGTTGTTTGATCAACGTCTGCAGACACCGAGTTCGTCCACGAACCCAGCTTCTCCGGCCGGTAGCCCTAGCGATATCGATATGAGGCATTTGATGCGGGGGCTCGTGAATCATGGCTATGCCAACGAACTAGTTGATGAACTGCAACCAAGGCACAGATCTAAAGAGGCGCAGCCTGTATGGTATTGATTACTGAGCTGACTCGACGAACACGTCTGAGAGCAACTGATGAGGCTGGTAGCATCCCAAAGTTGTACGTCTTCGCGATCGCCGACGACCAGACGGTTGGACACGACGAATAGGCTGAACAGATGGTTTTGGGATGAAAGAACGGACGAGGTGTGCCTCAAGTCGGTGTCTCAACCTGTTCGATCTATCCTCCGATGAGGTAATGCTGCGAGAGATGAGTTCAGATGATAATGGTCCTTATGGGTGCCGACGGGTAGGCCATCCAAAGTGGACACTGCCACCTTGGTCTCGGATTGGGTATCTACAGATGACATGCCATGGTGATGACTCGTGATAGGGTGTCTAGTTGCTAAATATACACATGTCGCCTACGTCGTCTGAAACTGTGGGGAAAGCGACATGATCGTCCCGCGCCTGACTTGGTTTCATCTCAACGTTTAGCTCTATGCGAGTTTCAAGTCAGCCTTGGCGGAGGGCCTTCGGGCTTCACTTGCGCGAGCGAAGCACGCGACCATTGAATCGATCACGAATGATTGTATTTAATGGTGCTGCTGTCGCTACATTCCTTGTGGTTGTTGTCTCTCCATCATCAGCATCACTTCCGCTTTACAAGTCTCTACTTCTCAATCTTTTTCTCACGTTACTTCAGCCATTCATTTCCAGGCGCCACTTTCAGTCCCTTCCAAACTTTGACAGTTTTTCGATTCACACACAGAGTAGACTCTCTATCCAACTTTTCATACTTTCACCATGAAGTTCTCCTCCGTCGTCGTGCTGGCCGCCCAGCTTTCTGCCATCAACGCCCTTCCTACGTCCTCGAAATCTTCCGAGCGATCTGTCTCTTCCTCCAATGATCGCAAGGTCAGCCGCATGGCCCAGGCAGTCGGCGCCCCTGGGCAGGCTCCCGGTCAAGCACCTGGTCAGACGCCAGGCCAGGGCGCTGGCCGTGGCGGCAACCAGACCGATACCGACGGCGATGCTACCGACGGCAACGCCACCGACGGCAACGCCACCGACGGCAACGCCACGGACAACGATCTGACTGACGACAACAGACAGGCCCCCGCCCCTGTCCAGCGCAAGCGTTATGTGACCAAGTCTAAGCGCTCGCGCACCCATCTTTCCTCTCGCAAGGTCAGCCGCCGCAAGGCCCAGGCTGGCGCGGCTCCCGGCCAAGGCAACGCCACAGATACCGATGGAAATGCCACGGATGGTGTCACGGATGGTGTCACAGACAACAGTGCCACTGATGGCGATCTGACTGATGACAACAGGCCGGCCCCGCCGCCTGCCAGGCCCGCCAGGCGAGCCGACTCCAAGCGTGCCCTCGCCGCTGCCCAGCGGAGGGTGGCTCGCATGGCTCAAGCTGCCGCTCCCGCCCCTACTCAGGGTGCTGGCCAAGGCAATCTCACTGATACCGACAATGATGCCACTGACGGCGCCAACTCGGCCACTGACAACGATCTCACTGATAATGATGCCACCGACGGCGACCTGACGGATGATAACCGCCAGGCGCCGGCGCCGGCTCCGGCCCCTGTTCCCGCCCCAGCGCCCGCTCCGGCACCTGCTCCGGCCAGGCGGTCCACCCACACCAAGCGCGCTCTCGCTGCGCAACATCGCAAGGTCAGCCGCCAAGCCGCAGCTCCCGGCCAAGGCGCCGGTCGAGGTGGTGCTCTGACCGATACTGACGGCGATGCCACTGATGGCGTTGCCTCGGCCACCGAAAACGATCTTACCGACGGTGACCTGACCGACGACAACAGGGCCGCGCCCGCTCCTGCTCCCGCGCCCGCCAGGTCTACCAAGTCTAAGCGGGCGCTGGCCGCTAGACACCGCAAGTTCGCCCGTAAGGCGCAGGCTGCTGCCCCAGCTCCTGGCCAGGGTGGTGCTCTCACCGATACCGATGGCAACGCAACTGACGGTGTCACTGACGGCGTCACCGACAACAACAACAACAGTGCCACCGACGGTGACCTGACCGACGACAACAGACAGCCCGCTGCCCCTGCACCTGCGAGGCCTGCTGCCCGGAGGTCCAACTCCAAGAGAGCGCTCGCCGCCGCTGAGCGCAGGCTCAACCGCAAGCGCCAGGCGGCTGGCAACCCTGCCAGTGACACCGACGGTGACCAGACTGACGGCGTCAACAGCCTCACGGACAATGATGGCAGCGCCACTGACGGCGACCTGACCGATGACAACAGGCAGGCTCCTGCGCCAACGCCTGCCAGGCCCGCCACCAAGAAGAGCAAGCGATCTATCACCAAGCGTCGCGAGGCCATGCGCAAGCGCCAGGCCGCTGGCAACAATACCGACAACGACAGCGCTGCTGACCTCACCGACAACGACGCCAACGACAGGGTTGACACCAAAGATGCCGACCTGCGCGGCGAGTACGGTGTTCCTGTTTCTATCGCTGCCAACGTGGACACCGACACCTTCTTCCCTGCCGGTGTAAGTCCACACTGCTAAGACCTTGACCATCAGGCAAAATCCAGTTTCGAGACTAACAAGCCCTTATAGAGCAACGGCCGCTTCGAGTTTGGCGTCCAGTCATCGAAGGCTGTCACGGTGACGGTCACGACAAACGCCAACCCTCCCGCGGCACCTGCGGGCTTCAAGGCCCTCGAGAATGTCTCCTACCAGGTGACTGCTCCCGAGGTTACCACCGGCCTCACCAAGGCCGAGGTTGAGTTTGTCATCAACCCCAACAGTGAGTCTCTCTCGTTGTCAAATATTCATAGCGCTTAGCCTCCACGTACTGATGCTGTACCACTCAGACCCTCTCAACCTCAGTCGCGGACGTGCTGGCCGTCTCAACACTCAGACCAACACGTTTGTCATTGACGAAACCATTGGAACCCTCGAAGCCGACAATGATGATCTGAAACTGACGGTCGCTGATGTGAACGGCGAGTGGGCTTTCTTCGTGCCTGACGATGCTGCTACTGCACCGGCTGCCCCAACAGCAGCTGTCTGAGCAACGACAGGCGGTGGTCTGGAATGACCGCCAAGAGAGACCGGGCCGTGCAGTCTCTGGGAAACTCCGTCGTGTCCAGCTGGTTCGAGCTTGTTTGGGAATAACGATCGATCGAGAAAGGACACGACAAGCCCATTGTTGGGGCATGTGGGCCATGATCTCGCACGTGGTGGGTGACCATTGATGCAGCAGAGACGGATTCGGAGATGCACGAGGGCGGACTAAGGATTTCTTGTACATGATTTGATGTAGCGTGAGCAAGTAAAGAGAGTCAGAAAAAACTTGATTGCACTAATTACCGTCGGCACTGCGCTCAATTGTCCACCATCCATCGGAGGACCCGTTCGCTTCGGAGATAAGTGCCACATCGTGTGCGATTCAAGGGCAGCGCCGCCAGCCCAACATAGGTTCCCCTGGCCACATTAGACAGCACAGAAAGTTGACATGACTGGTGAGCCACATGGCGCCCAAAGCCTTGACGCCAGAAATGACAGTCAATAACTTGAGGCGCACGCCAAAGGCTGCACCAACGTGCAGCTCGGCCGGCCGCACACCGAGATGCGATATTTTCTCCGCGCTGGTGCCAGCCAATGTTTGCACAGCAACACACGCCCATGGGGAGTCCCCGCGAAACCGTCTCCAGGTCTGGACGAGCTTGTACAGTGGTGCCCCCACAACGTGGCGGGATAGCAGCGGGATACTGGCCGCTCACCTGGGTCTCAGAAGCAGGGCCATGACCTCCAACACAGGCTCTTGGTGCTCAAGAAGCGGCAACAGCCGGTTCATGACCAGCCAGGGCGGAGATTTCCCCCCCCTGGCTGACTCGTGAATGTGGGTTGCCTCGGCACTGACATCCCCGTTCAGCAGCACCAGCAGCCCACTCGCACACAATCGAGTCTAGCTTGTGTTCTTCTGAGGCGTTCTTGTTCTTGGCTGCCAAACATCAGTGTCCTGCTGCTGTTTGAGCCGCGCCGCCTCCCGATTAAGCTTCTGCATGCCATACCGATGCGGCGCAGCCACCTGTCCGGACCGGCAACCCTCCCGCCTCTGGGCGTTGTCCCGCGATGCATCGTCATCGTAGCAAAAGTGTGTCGCGAATCAGGCAACTGACCCCAGCTTGGCTGGGAGGCCAATTGTTGCAGCGCATGACAAACTCAAACCCAAATCGCTGCGTGCAAGGGGGTCCAGCTCGATCTTTTTCGTGTGTGTTATTCTCCGCTCTGGTCTCCAGTTCGTGAGATTGGGGCATGCTGCACCAAAGGAAGGAAGAAAAAAAGACGCTCCAGGTCAGCCCACCCACATCCTCCACGAGCGTTCAGACTACGAGACCCGGCACTCGGCTCCGAGTCAGTGAACTGCGATGCTAGGACCAACTTCAGACATAGCAAGAAATGAAGACCCGAGTCTAGGGACGAAGAGGGCTAGACCCGGCTGCCCCAACGATCTAGTCAACCCCAAGACACTGACGAGTGTGCTTGGCGGCTCCGTGTGCCCCGTGGGCGAGAAGAAGGAGGGGGGCAAGATTCAAGGGACCACCAAACAGAGCCAGGGGACAACGATTTCCCCTCCAGACAAACTCCAACCATCCCCGCAGGCCCCTCCGGAACTGGGGATGGAGTTGGGGAATCCCACGTTTTCTCTGGCATGCAGCTCGGAGTGATGCCCGACAGACGGTCCGCCCCAGTCTTCGTTGCTGCTATGTATAAGAGGTGATCGACATCCCCAGATTTGGACGATTTGATGGAACTCTCTCCTCACCCGGTCCCAAGCAGTCGGTTCCAGAGCAGCAGCACCGTTCACTCAGCAACATGGCGACTCACGAAGAGACGAAGCCTCACTTTGAGCATGAGGAGCCCTTCGCCGGCAAGGAGGGCGTCGGCAAGGTGACTGAGGTCAACGCGACCTCCGTTGCCCTGGCTGCCGCCATGGCCGAGCAGAAGCCCAACATTTGGAGCGCGAACATGATCCGTCTGTACATGATCATGGGTATTGGCTACCTCGTCTCGACCATGAACGGCTTCGGTACGCCACTCTCCCCAAGGTCGCGAGCCCTACGTCACACACGTTTTCGCTAACCCTGCCTCCAACAGACAGTTCCCTCATGGGCGCCATCAACGCCATGCCCCAATACCAGGAGAGCTTCGGCCTCACGGGTGCCGGTTCCACGACCGGCATTGTCTTCATGATCTACAACGTCGGCCAGGTTGTGGCCTTCCCCTTCTGCGGTTGGCTCGCTGACGGCTACGGTCGTCGAATCTGTATCTTTGTCGGCTGTGCTATCGTGCTCATCGGAACTGCTATCCAAACTCCTGCCACCTCCCTCGGCATGTTCATTGGCGGCAGATTTATTCTCGGCTTCGGCGCTTCGAGTAAGTACTACTCGACCATGTCACTCTTGAGCCCAATACTGACTCGCCGATAGTCGCTTCAGCTGCTGGTCCTGCCTACACCGTCGAGCTCGCTCACCCGGCCTACAGAGGTTTCATGGCTGGCATGTGTAAGTTGGCATGCATGCGTCTCTGTTTTCTTCGCAACGTTCTGACTTGGTATAGACAACAACTTCTGGTGGCTCGGAAACATTCTGGCTGGCTGGACCACCTACGGCTCCAACCTGTAAGCATTCCTGATTTCCATTTCGCATCACGAAGAACTGTACCTAATAGAATTCAGTCATCTCGACAACTCCTGGGCTTGGCGCACCCCCACCGTCATCCAAGCCGGTCTCCCCGGTGTCGTCATGGCGCTCATTCTCTTCTTCCCCGAGTCTCCTCGTTGGTTGATCTCTCACGACCGTGCCGAAGAGGCCCTCGCCATTCTCGCCAAGTACCATGGTGACGGCAACGCCAACGCCCCCGTCGTGCAGCTCCAGTACCACGAAATCGTCGAGGACAACAAGCTGACCAAGGACGAGAACCCGTGGTGGGACTACCGCGAGCTCGTTAACACCCGCGCCGCGCGCTACCGTCTCTTCATGGTCATCGCCATGTCCTTCATTGGCCAGTGGTCCGGTAACAACGTCGTCAGCTACTTCATGCCTGAGATGATCAAGCAGGCCGGCATCACCAACACCGACACCCAGCTCCTCCTCAACGCCATCAACCCCATCTTCTCCATGATCGCCGCCATCTACGGTGCCTCTCTCCTTGACAAGCTCGGCCGTCGCAAGATGATGTTGGCTGGTCTCAGCGGTGGTCTCATCTCCTACATCCTCCTCACCGCCTTCACCGCCTCCTCGGAGAAGACCCCTGACCTGTCCTACGGCGTCATTGTGTCAATCTATCTCTTCGGCATCTGCTTCGCCTGGGGTTTCACTCCTCTCCAGACCCTGTACTCGGTCGAGTGCCTCGAGAACCGCACCCGTGCTCGTGGCTCCGGTCTCAACTTCCTATTCCTCAACATCGCCATCATGGTCAACAGCTATGGTATCTCTGTCGGCATGGAGAAGATTGGCTGGAAGCTGTACATCGTCTACATTGCCTGGATCTGCATTGAGATGGTCATCATCTTCTTCTTCTTCGTCGAGACCGCTGGCAAGACGCTTGAGGAGCTCAAGGTCGTCTTCGAGGCTCCCAACCCCCGCAAGGAGTCCACCAAGAAGACCACGGTTTCTGTTGACGAGGTCGGCAATGTTGTCGGAATTCGCGAGTAAGCGCAGAGGCTCTGTAATCTTTCACGGGCATACAAGCTTGCCCACGCCTTGTACAAGATGAATTAGCATTGAAAACCAATAATTAATCATGTGATCATATTCACAGTTCCATCCCGCTTCAGTATTCCAACCATGACATTCAGACCATAACGTGGCATACGCCACCCATGGGTTTACCAGTGCAACAAGACGATACTTGCGCGGTTTACAAAGCAAGTGCCATAAAGCTCGCAACAGTGACAAAAGCCCATGCCCAGTTGGATGTAACCATACGTCCAGAGGCGACGCTAACCTTCTCGTTGATGATTCGCTCGGCCTCGGCAGTGATGTTAGGGCATTTGCCATTGAGAAGGTCTTGCATCGAAGAGCGCTTCCGAAGGGCATTCGGATCGGGATCCTCAGCCACACATTCGCCCGCAGAGTTGGACCTGCGGAACTTCATCGTGCGTGCAAATATGGCAGACTTTTGGTCCGTTGTGAGACCTTCCGCGGGAACCCGGCCTCGACAGGATGAATACTAAATCCGGCGTGTTAGTCAGAGCTTGTCAATCTTGTCTTTCAAGTGGCACCGCTTACGCTCATGTAGTTGGAGATGTCCTGAGGAGTGTCTCCGTCGCAAGGAATTTGGGAGCACTCGTAAATTGCATCCGGAGCACCCCTCGTCTGCGTCGAGTCCAGAAGACCGTCGTCTGCCTGGCAATCGTCCGCAGCCTTGGCGACTTTTGTTCCAAAGGTATGCTGCAAGCCGAGCCAGTGACCCACCTCGTGAACAAGAGTCGGCGCGTAACTATTTTGCATGCGTCCCTCCTTCATCACCACGCCGTCACGGAAGGCTTTGTTCGAATCCTTCAAGCTGACAGGGTGTGTGGCATACTGCGAATCGTCAGTGAGAATACTCGTTTGGGGGACAGTGTGCACAAGAGGATTGGACTCACCCCGTTCAGGCTCCTCTTTCCATCAGCGCTCTTGAGTGTGTTCACCAGCCAGATATTGAGCGACATCTTGTTTCCAGCACGGGTATTTCGCTGCCATCGCAGAAGCCTGTCCTCGAGCTTGTTGATTTCGGACCAGTCGCTGTTATCGCCCGTCTGCGGAGGGCGCCAGAATTGTTTGTCTTTGAGGTTAAAGGTAATTCCGAGAGGTTCATAGACGGAGTTGAGGAATGTAATCTGTATACGTCAGCATAAGTTTCATGCGTTTGAGCCATGCTGCCACTTACGCTACCGTCGATTCTGTCCGCAAGCGTATTGGGCCTCACGGCATCGTATGATTCCTTGATGTAGTTAACGTATACGTCGAACTGCAGAGACGAGACGTATCGACACTGGTCCCAGCCTCCTCGAAGAGACCGAGACGATAAGTCTTGAGGGGCCTCAGCACCCGAAGCCCAGACGCTTCTCTTTGTCAAGGCCACTTCACACTGCGAAATCGCCTCGGGAATTTCAAGCTTGCCGACGTCGCCTGGAGCAGGCGCATTCTCGACAAAGTAGTCAAACATGACTGTTTCCAAAACAGCGACGTCTCTGGCGTCTTCTTCTGTCATGGGCACTTCGGGTAGATTCTCCACGAGCTCTGACTCATGCTCTTCGGGTGTGGTGACATCCGGTGGTGTTTCGAGTGTAGACTCTTCGCCTTCGGTCAACTCTACTGCCGTAATGTCCATTCCTTCGTCAGGAGAGGCGGATGCTGAGGCGCTGGGCGAGATGGACCCTGACGATTCGCTGGCGGACGAGGCACCGTCTGTTGTGCTGGCTGATACCCCGTCTAGGCTGCCAGACAAGATACTCGATACTACAGGCTCGAATATCGTAGACTCTGTCACGGTTGGTTCGGACACTACAGGAACTGTCGGATCGGTGATTTCGGTCTCCGTGGGTGTCACTTCAGGATCTGGGGTGTCACCATCAGTGACAGAGGGAGTAGTACCGGAATCAGGAGTGGTAGAAGGCTCCGCAGGACTGGTGATGGTATCTGTAATGGTGCTGACAGCGGCGCCAGGGTCCTCAGACTGGGCCACGACAACGCGCGAACCCAAAAGAACAGCCAAGTACACAGCTGAAGTGATTGGGAGCCTCATGATTGTGCCTTACACCGAGGGGGTCGAATAGTTTGTGTTGAAGTAGTCGTAACTGGAACACAGGCTATCAGTATAGCTTTCATGGGGGTGTTCAGGCTCACTTATAGCAAGCCTTGCGACTTGGTAGTCTTCCTCTGGGAGGCCTGTGATGATGGGCTTTGACATTGGGATAGAGCTTAGTTCGCAGTCTCCGGAAAGCCATTGACCCGCGACGCCATCGTCACCTACGCGCATGTCATAAACGGTCAGGTCAAATACTAGGCGAGGTGGCGTCGAATGAGCAGTCGCCGCGCTTGGGCGGAGCTGGGCGATTCTCTGTGAGCTGTGCATCTAGACTGCGGCTGAGGTCACGCCGGCGGAAGGCTAAGCTCAAAAATGACTTGGACCCTAGACTTGGGGGAAATGGAGCTACCGAAACAGGCCGTGGCTGTTCCAAGCAACGCTGAACCAGACACAAATGGGCTCGTATATTGGCTGGGTGTTGCCCAACGAATAAGCTTAAATCAATCGGAGGCGTCCATCCCATGTGCTATCACGGTTGACGGGGCCTGGCCAGGCACACTGCGCCCCCGGGAACCCAATGACTGGTGAGCTGCTGAAGCCATGATAATGCTGGTAGGCGAAGCATGGCGCCACAACGTTTGAAGCGACACGAGCTGAGAAACATGTAGAGTAATCGTATTGCAAACGGTAGGTAGTTCACGATATGCCTTGACCAGAATCAGCCAGGGATAATGTCGGCGTCGGACTGAAATGACCTGCGAGGCCTTAGGTCATCCCTTGCCTAGAAATGGTGTCTCACAAATGCCACGTGAATGGAACAAACATCTGACAGTATGGTGCAGCGAATCTTTCAAAAGCGGCCTATTGTCAAGACATGTCGTAAAATGTGCCCTGCTGGATTGGCCTGAGCTGAACCCAGCTGAACACCGACACAGGAGGGGCCATCCATGACGAGAAATGTCCTGTTTCGAGCCTGGAATGTGATAGGAAAATTCTCCCCTAAACGTATTGATGTTCCAGCAGAATGCTGACGAGAGGCTGAGAAGAAAGGTCACAGGCATCACGTCTCGACGTAGGCGAACTGCTCCATTGTCTGAGCCTGAACATCACAAACCCTCACCCTTTTGGCATGTGACAGTGCTAGGGACATCACGAGTCATTAGACGGCGAGGGTCTATGCGGATAGACGTAGGCCCACCATTCCCACCTCTCCCCTGCTGCAAATCACATTATCATTCGTTCATGATTCAGTCCCAACTACATGGTGTCGACAACTGTTTCCTTCTGTTCTTTCCTGGACAACCTCCTGGATACAGTGCTTCAGCCTTGCTCCTCGTCCATCATGGCCGTCATGTCTCGTGACGCCAAGGCCAGCACGCATCTGTGGCGCGGACCGCGTATGCTCTTAATCTGTTCTCTCTGTTACCTCTTCCCGTTTATTTGAGCATAGCCAGCATCAATGCGAGGAGCTCGTATTCCCTCATGGTCGCAAAACGGCTTTCGAAATCTATCACCATCTTAAAATGATCTCAAACCCACCTCTGGGGCAGATTGACCTCTCTCCCTCCCGTAAGCGTAGCAAAACCTTGTGACCCGTGCTGGGCGCTCGAATGACCTTCCGAGTCCAAAGCGTGGCCCGAACAACGATGTCGCAAAACGTACCATCACAATCGATATTTCGAGTGTTGTGAAATCTCGCTCCCAATTGCGCGGCTGCAACGGGAACCTGACAGGGCCGCTCGATCTGGATTGGCCTTTGGTTTACCTGAGCGATATTCGTCCATACCGGCTCGGAAGCGGCAGCAGTAGCAACACAGCAACGACGCATCGCAGCACGATGGTTTACATGCTGTTATAGCGATATCGCTAATCTACTCACAGGTTTATTGATAGAGCGCCACGAGATCTCTATGTACGTAACGTGAGGCTTCGCTGCACGGCAAAGTTTTGGAACGATCATTGGTGTCGATTTGACGGAGGGCTACGAAGTCCACTCGATATGGCGCCCGTGAATCGCAGACACTGATCGCAAGGAGGATCTCTACAGTCATCGTCTCATCGTCTGACGGCGCACGTCATGCCCGAAAAAGTCTATACAGTACTTCTCGATATGTCGGCTCCAACCTGAATATCGATATCATCGTTCGTTAAACAAGCGTGCGCATTAAGTCCAAAGTACGAAGTAAGCGGCCACCTGACACGACTACTCTGCCACTGCGTAACGCGTATTAGCAAGTGTTTGTAAGAACGAAGCCGCCTGATTGTTCTGCCTCCCGAAACCTCGTACCGCTACAACTGGTCATCGACCGACTTGGCTGCTGTCGTCAACGTCGGCTTGGACGGAGCAAGATCGGATACGTATCCTACAGCCGAACAGATTGGGTCTCAACAAGGCAGAGCAGACGAAACGCACCGATATGGTCGACATGGCATTGATGTACAAGGAACAGGATGGAAGTGGCATGCACGCGCCGTCTGCAGTTTCAACCACGCTATTCATATTTGCTCATGGAGTTGAAGAATTCCACCATTGCGGTTGGCTTCAAGCACCTACGAGGCAGAATGGGCACCATCAGTCACATTTCATCCGAACTGCCGAGCTTTCGAATATCGGTGGCGTCGACAAGACCATCAACTGATTTCATCTATCGCTAGACGCGTGCCGCCAAGCGTATGCGCAGGATTCGTATGGCATCCTGGTAGCGAACCCCTGTCTCCATCCGGCAGCAGACCACTTTTCTCCTGCACGAGGGGTTGGCGCTAATGCCCCGTCGTCTTGGAGTCCGACAAAATGGGTGCAGCAGCCCAGCATACCACCTGCTGCACGTTATCTCACCTGAGGATTGCTCCCTGGTCCCTGGGATCTTGAGATGGCCGAATAAAAAGCACCATGGCCCGCGGCAAAATCATCTATGGGCGACTTCAGGAAGGCAGCTTCTAGTCCAGCCTGTCTACTCCCATTATCCCTTTGGTCGACTGTTGCCGGTCCAGTCATTACCCAGCATGTCTTTCTTCCCGTCCTTGTCCACCACGCTGCGCAGTGTGTTTGCCAGTGTGACACTCGTCTCTGCAGCAGCTCTACCGGACAATGTCATCGAAAAAGATGTTGTCGTCCTGGGAGGAGGCGCGTCCGGCGCGCATGCTGCCGTCAGACTACGTGAAGATTACGGCAAAAGTGTCATTGTTGTCGAAAAGAAGGCCCAATTGGTAATTTGACGCATTCCGGTTCACCTTCATCGATAATTGGGCTAATCGATCTCTGTTCAGGGAGGACATGTTGCGACCTACATCGACCCGGACACCGAGGTGCCATACGATTTTGGTGTGAACTCTTACACAGAGTATCCCGGCGCAGAAGACTTCTTCGCTCGTTTCAACGTCTCGTTGAGTCCTCCTACTCGCGTACCTCTCACAACCACCTATGCCGACTTCAACTCTGGCGAGATCCAAGGCGGATACGTCCTTCCTGCCGCTGCCGATACAACTGCGGCTCTCCGAAAGTACCTTGAGGTCTGCGGAAAAGTACGAGCACATGATCTTGCCGTCATATGCAACTTCGCACAGCTGGCAATATCGCCGAGACCTGTGCTTCCTTTTCCTGCCTTCGTCAACAAGTACACCCTTGAGGCGCTGTACCTCGCATATTTCAAGTCAGGCTCGGTATGGGTGACATGGCAGACATTTCCACGTTGTATGTGATGCAGGCTTTTGGTGCTCCGATCGCCCGAAGCTTCGTCGGCCTCGCGGGCTCATGGGTTCCTAGTTCTCGCCGGAACCAGGAGCTCTATGATAACATTGCTGCGCTTCTGGACGATGACGTACTGTACTCGAGCACCGTTGTCGAGTCCCAACGTACCGATGACGGCGTGACGTTGCGTGTGCGGACCCGTGGCTCGTCGCGCGACACGGTGATCCGCGCAAAGCGTCTGCTCATCTCTTTCGAGCCGACTATCGCCAACCTTCGCGGCATCGAAATTGACGAAGAGGAGCGCGGCGTCTTCTCTGAGTGGGAGTGGTCAACTGTCTACGTCGGCATCGCGAAGCACTCATCCCTTCCCGTCAGCGGCTCTCTGACCAACACGCCTGCAGCCGCAGTTCCAAACCACTGGCTCGAGCTGCCTGTGAATCCCTTTGTCGGTCGCTTTGACTACATGGGCGGCGAAAACTTCCGCGTTCTAGTCACCGGTGAAGCCTCAACCGACAGCTGTGAGGCGCAGCGCATGGTCAAGCGCGCCTTTCGGACGCTTGCTGAGGCCGAGACCATCCCAGCGATCGGTAACCAGACCCTGCAGTTTGCGGCATGGTCTGACCATGGCGCCATGCACCTCCATGTCGCATCTGATACGCTGCGGGACGGATTCATCACCAGGAAGTACGGTTTGCAAGGCCGTTCATCCACTTTCTACACAGGTGGTGCCTGGTCTGCGCAATTCACGACCATTCTCTGGGAGTACAACAATCAGTATCTGCTCCCCAAGCTGGTTGCCAGCCTTGAGTGATGAGTGAGCTTGCCTTTAGACCTAGACGAGATCGATTAATTGTACCATGCGCCACTGATATCCTCATATGTGGTAAAACCAATCCGCAAACCACCATGCAAGCCAATGCGCATGGGATTCTGTCATGCCACGGTGCTCGGAACCCCATCGTACCTACTCATTCATCAAATTCGCCGTCGGGAATCATGTCCTGAAGGGGAAGTCATGCGACCCAGCGGACTACGGAACAAAATCTCCCCCTTGTGTACTGTCCGTTCTTCATCGACAAGCAATTGTTCAATGGCCCCATTCTCGCTACCTCGGTGGAATATCTCACAGCCTTCGGCTTCAAGAGCCCTGGCCAGGTTGCGTCCCCCTTAGCACAAGTCGATACCGGGGTCCGTCGCCACCTTGCCGCGCCGTTTTCCCCGACCCCTGAAGATTCTTGCAGATCGAATCACATCGGCCCGGTGCCGAGCCTCCTGGCTTCGGAAGTGGCGGTGGTGGGGCTTTTAACCCTTTGATCACAGTGCTTGCGCTACAGAGTCTCGATCCTCCAATACTCGGAAGAGGCGGGGACCGCCGTGGACGCGCGCCACCACCAATACTACCCATCTCTATCCTGACATAGTCGACTGACATTCGTTTCTTGAGTTGGACGCGGGACGTAGGCCCTGCTCGTAACAACGCTTGTTCAAAAATCGAGATTCCTAGAGCCTCCGAGTAGAAAAGAGGCCGGGAACAGGTCGTATCGACTCAAGCTGTTCATGCCTTGACTACCACAACTCTTGGCAGGCCTGACCCCGGCCTTCAACATGTTGTTCAGGATTTTTAGTCAGCGGAGTATAACGCGAGGGGGAAAACGCCTCGAGAAAGTTGTCAGTCCACATCCCGCGCACCAAGACCTCCCTATGTCACATCACTTTCCCCATCCCCACCCCTGGCCTTGGATGACCAGGGCTTGTTCGTCGAGGAGAAAGACTTGATTACTGGACGATCACCTCAGTGGTCCGCATGATCCCTTTTACCCGCTGCGGTCCCATACGCCCCAATTGATCCTCCAGGATCCTCTCTTCGCTACCCCCTTCGCCATGCTTGTAGAATGCTCCCTGGACAGAGATCTCGTTCTGCCCCTTGGAGCCCGCGCCGCCCAGACTGCCGCCGTCACTGCCCCCACTGACCCTCTCGTCCGATTCGAAGCTGGGTTTCCTTGTGTGGCGTCGCGCGGGCCCTGAACCGCCTATCGTCTGCAGACCGATGCTCCCCGGGGCCTGGGAGCGGCCTGAGGGATATCGGTGGTCTCCAGCCGTGGAAAGCTTGAGGAAGCGGCTTACGAGCGGTTTGAGGGCTGGTGCACAAGCCGCGATAATGCCCAATTGGAGCTGAAGGCTAGGTAGATGTCAGAAACGGGAAAAAGAGGGCTTGACATCGGGCGCCTTACAATCCCCAGAATTGAACACTTTGCTCGAACGTCTTGTCAGGATTAGACCCGTAGGCGATTTGATAAATGGCCTTCACGACTCCCATTGCAACTGCACTGATATTGTTAGCAAAGGCCATTACGGCCAATCGAATCCCTTGAAACTCACAAGTAACCTAAGCTGAGAATGGCAATGACGGAGAGACGGACTCGTCGCTTCATCTGAAGGTTCCAGATAATGGGGATGGGAAGAGTCGCCAATACCACATCAGTGAAGATGTTGAATGCTATGAAAAAGTCAGACCAGTTCATCTGTCCACTCTTTGCACCGACTTGAATGCGTACTGACCCGTATTTATGATTCCAAAGGTGATGAATAATTGAATGTCGTAGCAATCGGGTTTGAGGCTCTTGTCCCAAAAGCCCGCCATCGGTCGACATCGTAGAAAGAAGGGAAACATGCCTCCAATGCAATATATAGCTGTCAAACCTATCAACCAAAGCATTTAGTCGAAGAAACCTAGCATTGGAGTTGACGAATACCCACCGATCGTGGCCCACAGAGACCAAGTATACCACTTGTTTTGACTGAGTCGCAACAAGTTCAAGGCAATGGATATCTTGAGCCACATCAGAGCCCCAGCAGCCGAGATGATGGATTGCCAGAAACCAGCATGCTGGAAAATCTTGAAGTCGGGCGTTTCAATCGTATCCTGGTGTTTTCCAAGTCCGTAATGTGCCTGTATGATGAAGATGCTCCAGCCTCCCATAGCGCAGGCCTTCAACTCGCGAGTCAGACAACGAGTTCAACCATGGACTTCACATCTGAGCGAAACTACTTACAGCACAAAGAAGCATAACGCAGTCATCTGCTCCAGGACTCCGAATGACCCATACTCGTGCGTAGATGCGTAATGCGATTGTCGTCAAAGCAAGGACATGAAATACTGTGACAATGCTGACAATGCGAGCCGTGTTGCTCTCTGCCGCTCTTGCTGGGTCGATTGGTGCCTGAGAAGGCCCTGACGGCGGACCTGATGCTGACATTGCTGCGAGGGTACTGCGCGTACTAAGAAGGACAGAAGATCATGCCGAGCGAAAAGTCAATTTCATGGGGACCGTTTGTCGAATTGGTATACGAAAGGAAGTCTCCTCAGATCAAGGACAGTGCTCAATGTGATTCACATGACAGCTACAAATCCGTCGCTGGTGGCGCGACAAGTGGGCAAATGGTTCCTGACGGCACACTTGGAGACAGTTCTGCTGCAAACCCTGCACAAATGCCGGTCAATTTTGATGTCGTCTCAGGCTTGGTACGGCTGTGACGGTGAATATGCAGTCGCCGGAAGTGCCCAGGAAGGATTAAAAAGCCAAGAAACGAACTGCAGGCACCAGGGGCAGCGAACGCCGGTCGCAAGTTCGACCCCTAGACCCCGGAACTGGGCCGGTGACGGCACGTTCGGCCGTGGTTCCAATTCAGGCAGCACTAATGCAGACAAACTCTCTTCATCACAATCTTGCGACATGCCACCCGTGGGGGTGGCCGGTTGGGAAGGTACTGTTTACAGGGTTCTCCCAACCAGCATGGCAATAACATGTCGCCTACTGAGATATTCCTAAGATAACGGTATGAATGACGAGGGCGTTGAGGACTCGACGGCCGGTTGTTGTTTGTTCCCCCCATAACAAGGCACTTGCTGATCGGTTGTAGCTCGTACCCAGAGCGCTGAACTTTATTCGTGAGGGATCATGTTCTGACTAGAGTTTCTTCCACTTCTATCTCGCTAAGCAAAAGGCCACTCGATATTCTGTTGTCCTTCCCCGACGAGCTTCCCTCTCGTAGCGTGTCAACGATGAATGAATGCGATTTTTCCAGTATCGGCTGACCTACGCCGCTGATGTACGATATATCGTGTGGCGAGTGCAATTGTATTAGTCGTGCCACTCATGACAGATCATTCGGTGTCATCCGTCTCTGCGAGTACTCAAATTAGAGTATGGAATGACGACGTGGACTATTTTAGGGACCCGATGCCGGTGGTTTGATCGCTGGAACAGCAATGAATACGGTTGGAAAGAAGGAAGCCTAATCGGTAGTTTTGAATGGGGTAAATACTCGTCAAAGGGAGGCGGGCACAATAGACTCCCGGTGCCGCGACTTCACTGCATCAGCAGACGGGTCGTGTGAGCGTGTGGGTATAAGCGATTGGTTTTGAAGAATTCCAAGATCGAGGTGCATGGTGGTTCAAGGCAGCCTACAAAATGCCAATCACGGTTGTCGAGGGCGTTTTGAGCTTGGCTATTCCGAGGGTTTAACCCAGCTGAAGGCGTTGGCATCGCATGCTGGCGGTCTGCGTCTCGAAACCGACCGACATAGGGGCCTAACCAGGTGCCCTACCTTGAGATGCCTTGTTGTAGTTGAGATTCTTACCTTGAGTCGAGTTTACTGCTACGCCTCGGCGATACCTTTCACCAGAAGAAAAAAGATCTCCTTAAGGTGGGGGTGCATTGCCACGCTTTCGTCTGAATTCGAAGGTTGCCTTAATTTCTGCTGAAGATCTTGGTTTTGTAAATCATTTTGGGGGACCGCAAATAGAACCGACCCGTACGATGTGAGGCGCTTCTTGCGACCCCGGCATTACTACGGAAAGTGACGAGTGAGGCACAGTTTTATCTCAATCTTCAGCTGGCCCCTGATGAGAGCCGCACTGTCACATACCAGCCTCCAACATAGCTTACCCCACCTCCGAGCGCTGCAGCCTGGGTGAATGGGATCCAACAAACATCAACCATATCACCTGTCAAGCCTTGACAAATGCACGCGACGACAGCATCTCCCATCCACCCGGATGAACGAGAGTCGCTGATCCAGCACGTTTCGTTCACTCCTGGGACCCCTTCAGCGCCCGATCGAGGGGATCGAGGGAGCCATGGGACAAGACTGGCAAACTGGAGAGATCTACGCACAGGGTTAACAAACCTGATGGTTGTAGTTCTCCTATTCCTGGCGTATCCCCCGATCGGTTCCTACAAGGAAAGAGATGATGACGGTCAGTGACAGGGTTCCTCCGATTGCATCCAGCGAGTTGCGATCCATTACTGACCACTGTTCATCGCGTCAAGCGACCGGCAAGATGACTGCCATCCTCCGCGGCTTCTACGGCCCATTTCTCTTTCCGACCACGCCGTATTTTCTCGTAGGACTCGCCATGTTCACTGTCATCTTTGTTGTCGCGTTGCAGCGCGCCCACTTTGACAAGCTCGGCCCGAATCTGCAGAATGCCACACTCACCATGACAGCCATGCACATGTGCATCAACTTCGCCAATGACGGATTGGCGGGTGGCCTGAAAGATATTCCAATAACTGCTCAATGTCTATTTGTTGCTGTTTTCTTCCAGAAAGGTGTAATTTGGCTATCAAAAGCTTGGAGGGAGAGGAAGTCATCAGCAGTCGAGCACCATGCATCATCCGTCTGAGCATTGCACAGATAGTAGGCATGGTAGCTAGGATACAATTGATGATGGACGATCTAACCTTGGAAGAAGACCGTATTGCTTACTAAAATTTTTTTTGCAGCGGTTAGGTCACTGGAGAAGATGCGAGAAGTACGGTTCGGCATGACACAATGTTAAAATGCCCAAAGGAGATCAATCAAGGCTAGGGCAAGTTAGCTTTTAGCTATCCGTGTTGATCGGTGAGTGCAGACAAGTTTTAGTGGGTGGGCAAGTGGGGTACCGAAGGCCGCTCTGGACACAGGGCTCATACACTACCACGTCATGGCGCTGGTTAAGATTTAACCAGGTATCTAGGTATGTTATTAATCACATTGTCTCATATTGTCTCGTATATCGTCAAACGCTCTAAAATCCGGTTGAATGGTTACTTAGGGATATTTTCAGATGCAAAGTTTGCCGGGATAGGCAGGCTTGTGATTGCGGCGAGCTGGAGTATGTGCCGCTGGTCCTCACTTACCAAGTTGTGCCATTTGCAATGACATCCAGCCTTTCACTGCTCAAACGCAAAACACCACAAACATGAGTGTTCTACTTATCGGCGGCAACGGCATAATAGGCGAGTATTCCGTTCTCAGTCTTCAATTGACAGGTCACCAGGCCACTATATCCGGAGGTTGACGTCCAGACTCCGTACTCCTGCTGGAAGCTCTTCCCGTTCTCGAGGGAGACTAATTTAAAAGCAATACCTCACGCGAGCAACCAGGCGCATCCGATGCTGTGAGATATACGGCCGGTGCAGGCGCTCGTCACATGCCTGCTAGCCAGAATGTCGACGAGTATCTCTTTTGTGCTAATGGCAAAGCCCTGCTCGCCTTTGCCGAGCTTGCTCATTTTACGAACATCAAGCACTTCATCCATATTGAAAGCGCCTACCTTCACGTCTTGCCAAGATTGGTTGACAGAAAACCCTACAATCGCTCTCGAAAGTTGGCCGCTGATGGCATGCCGCGTGCAGCACTGTTCGCAGGGGCAAAAGCAGTAATGTACGAGCCTGACGCAAAACATGATGAGATTTTATCACCACGGCAGTATCGATAGCGAGTGAGATCATAACATCATTGTTTGAACTAAAATTCTTTCCCGTAAGGTGCTCAACCTATGATCAAACGAGACTAGGTACTTTGAATGAAGCAAGCTTGACTTGGTGCCAAGGCTGACCTGCATCTACATCTCGTCATCTTGCCCCCGTTCTGCTATCAATGCTTTGTGCCTCCTCAACAAGCTGGTCTCACAAAAAGGTGCGAGGGCTCCGCGTACCTTTCATAGCTGCTGAGCATTCGTACAACCCAAACTGCGCATCGTTTTTGTTCATATACTGGCAAAGCCGGTAATTCGCAATCACACTATCACGCCACTGAGTTGAACTGGGTGATATAATGTCCATACCTTTCGCCGCGCCACCGGCGCTGCGTATTCCGTTCGGCAGACTGCTGACCTAGATCTATCTTGGAACTCGAATCATGTTTCGTGTTTACGAATGCCTTGACGCTGTTGCATATGGGCCATTGATAGAGCTCACACCACACCTCGACCTGTTACATTGACCTCAACCCAATCAACCAAAGCAAACGCCGCTCGCGCCACGTCATGCGGCCATCTTCCAAGTCAAATACATATGAACAGGCGAGTCAAGCTATTTTCGGACAGCAGTAGACTATGAACTGAGGAACAGAAGCAGCCCTATGTTTGTTCAAGAAGGCTGCATAAATGACAACC